TCTTGCTAAGTTCCTCATCTCCGTGTGAGACCACCTCTGGCTGGATTTCATTGTTCATATCATTATCAGCATTTTTGTCAAAGCCATTCAACAAGTATCTAGGAAGTTCCAAACTTTCCCACATTTTTCTATCTTCTCTGAGCCCTCCAACTATTCCAACCTCTGCCTGTCACCCAGTACCAAAATGATTTCTACATTTTCAGGTATCTTTTCAGGAGTGCCCCACTCTACAGGAATCAATTTACTGTATTAGTTTGTTTTCATGCTGTTGATAAAGACATGCCCAAGACTGAGCAATTTACAAAAGAAAGAGGTTTAATGGACTTACAGTTCCACATGGATGGGGAGGCCTCACAATCATGGCAGAAGGCAAGGGGGAGCAAGGCACATCTTACGTGGAGGGTGGCTGGCAAAGAGAGCTTGTACAGTAAAACTCCACCTTATATCACCATCAGATCTTGTGAGACTTACTCACTACTATGAGAACAGCATGGGAAACATCTGCCCCCATGATTCAGTTACCTCCCACTGGGTCCCTCCTACAACATGTGGGAATTCAAGATGAGATTTGGGTGGGGATATAGCCAAACCATATCAGTAATATTGAGATTTTATTCATAATCTTGCTGACCAAATGTATCTTCTTTTGAAATGTGTCTGTTCATGTCCTTTGCCCACTTTTTAATGGCTTTTTTTTCCTTGTAAATTTGTTTAATTTCCTTATAGATGCTGGATATTGGAACTTTTTCAGATGCATAGTTTGCAAAATTTTTTTTCCATTCTGTAGGTTGCCTGTTTACTCTGTTGATAATTTCTTTTGCTGTGCAGAAGCTGTTTAGTTTAATTGGATCCCATTTGTCAAATTTTACTTTTGTTGCAATTGCTTTTGGAGTTTTCATCATGAAATCCTTGCCCATTCCTATGTCTGGAATAGTTTCCTAGATTGTCTTCCAGGGTTGTTTATAGTTTTAAGTTTTAAATTTAATGTAAGTTTTTAATCCATCTTGATTTGATTTTTGTAAATGAGGTAAGGAAGGGGTCAGTTTCAGTGTTTTGCATATGGCTAGCCAGTTATCCCAGCACCATTTATTGAATAGAGAGTAATTTCCCACTGGTTATTTTTGGGAGCTTTGTCAAAGATCAGATGGTTGTAGGTGTGTGGCCTTATTTCTAAACTATTCTGTTCCATTGGTCTGTGTGTCTGTTTTTGAACCAATACCATCCTGTTTTGGTTACTTTAGCTCTGTACTTTAGTTTGAATTCAGGTAGTATGATGCCTTCTGCTTTGTTCTTTTTTGCTTAGTATTATACTGGCTACTCGGGCCCTTTTTTGATTCATTATGAATTTTAGAATTTTTTTTTGTAATTCTGTGAAGAATGTCATTGGTAGTTTGATAGGAATGGCACTGAATCTGTAAATTGCTTTGGACAGTTTTGCCATTTTAATGCTATTGATTCTTCCTATTTATGAGCATGGAATGTTTTTTCATTTGTTGGTGTTATCTCTGATATCTTTGAGCAGTGTTTTATACTTCTCTTTGTAAAGATCTTTCGTATCCCTAGTTAGCTGTATTCCTAGGTATTTTATTGAAAGATTAATTTTCTAATTCTATTTTTTTAAATATTTATTAATTGGAATTCTAATTTAAGAGAAAGCTTTTTCCTCCTCACACATATCAGTATAATGTAAGTAAAGGCTTTCTTTTCCTCATTTATTTATTTATTCATTTGTTTATATCAGTATAGACTCATGGATTGAATTCAATGAGCTATAATTCAGTACTCTCATTGTTTATTTTCATGCTTAAGTGCTTTGTTCTCTATTTTTAATATAAAATGCCTTTTGTATTAATCATTATATCATGAACATGCTTCCATGTCAGTATACAAAGATTATTGAAGAATTTTTAAGTATCCTGAGGTAATCAAATTTGTACTTTGGTGTAATCACTCACTCTGGTAGCAGTGTGGTAAATGAATTGGAAAAGAATTAGACTGAAGACAGTGTTGAGCAAGGGTTGGGGAGGCAAGGACAGAGATTAGAAGCAGTCCCCTTTTCTTTACCTCTGGGTAACATAATTAAAATTATTTCACTCTGTGGGGATTTGAAGATAGGGAAATGATGTTCCCCATCAAACAATGTCCAATAGTTCATTGGATAGATAGGCCTGTAGCTTAGAAGGGTTGTCTGATCTGAGATTTAGATTTACAAATATTTAACAAATATTTAACATTATAATGGTAGCCATCATATAGAATGTTCACTACTTCGAATCACTGTGCAAAGTATTATACATATATTATCTATTTCTCACAATAATCCTTTGAACTAGATTTTGTTATTTCCATTTACCAATAAATCAATCAGTAATCATACAGTTAGATGATTTATAGCTGTATGAGTATTAATTTATTAGCTGCTAAGTAGTAAAGCGGAAATTTAGTTAAGCCATGGATTAAATGAGATATTTTCAGGCAATTCAAGAAGATTTTTAAACTCAATTTATAGTTATGGTAGTTCATTAGAAGTATGGCTGTATTTTGTGCCTAACTATGAAACCAAAACACTATGTGCTTGACTTGTTAGATTATACAAAGACAAAAAAATTTGATCAGGGTTTCTGAACCTTGGCACTATTGATATTTTGGATTAGGTAATTCTTTGTTGTGGGGAGCTGTCCTGTGCATTGCCACATGTTTAGCAGCATCTCTGTCCTCTATCCATTAGATTCCAGTAGCACTCCATAATTGTGACAACCAAAAATGTTTCCAGAAATTGCCAAATGTTTCCTGGGAGGCAAAATCGCCCAGTTAAGAACCACTGATGTAAACATTTGAGTTGGCATTCGCACTGTGTTTAATGTTGTTTATGAAAATGTATTCTCTATATAGTGATCAGGGAATTAATAATGCTTTTGAATAGTTATTTATTAAAGATCTGCTATGTAATTAATCAGTTTATTCTTTCTTTTAATCAATAAATATTTACTGTGTATTTATTGTGGGCAGCCACTGAACTAGGCATTGAGAATATGAAGATAAATAAGAAAATTCCTCAATATAGCCTACAGTCTAGTGAGTATTACAATTAAACTCATGAGTACAAAATCTTGACTTTTTATGTTTTATCTTATCTTGGTCGAATTAAGGATATTAAAGTATTTGCACACGTGAGTTTGTGTTCTGAGTGATCTTAACTACTGGAATAAATTAGGTTCCAATCAGCATTTTTATAAGTTAAATCAAGATGTTCTCATTTCTCCCTTCTCCAGAGGGTTGCGTCTATGTTCTGGGAGATTTGTGTAGAGGTGCATGGGGAAAGGGAGGCGCCTCTCTTCATATATCTTTATGATGATATGTCTGTTCTGATCCTCATTTGTCCTTTCATGTTGGCACTAACTGAATGACCTGAATTTTTACCTGGCATTTTATCTTGCAACATGCCCTTGCATTGGTTACTTTGCACTTTTAGCTTGACTGCCAGGCTGCTTTGGGGCTTTTGACTCTTACAAGCCTCTGTTCCCTTCACTGTGTCATGGAAAATATTTTGCCATTCTTGCATGCCATACTGGAGCTGTGGAAAATTTGGTGGCTGTCAGAGACCTTTCTTCTTACATATCAGTACTGGCATTTCTTTACTACTTTCTCCTTGCTATGGTTTCTCAAAAAAGTCTATGTGTCTTGCTGCCTTCTAGGGCTCCTAATGGACTATAAGCATATTATTTTTGGTTAGTATACACAAATTAGAAGGGAAAGCTCACTAAAATGGATTACTCAAAAAAGTTTATTTTGTTAGATAATAAGAGGAAAAAGCACCATATCCCTATCTCCTTACAGTAGCAGAATGAATAGAACAGATGGAGCATCTTCCCTTCATCATCTAAAAAGGAACTCATGTAGAGTTCTAAAAGATATTAAAAAACTTAAATACTGGGATTTTTTTTGTTTGTTTGTTTTTTGGTCTATTACATATTTCAGAGGTACCTTATTTTGTGACTCATTCATTAAGTCTCAGAAACAAGAATCTTAATTATTCTTGATACCCTTCTTTTTTTTCTGTGCCTTACACTTATTTTTAATTAAATGAGGTTATAGGTCAATATATACAACATCCCAGAACTGCTATGTTTAACATTAATGATTTGATAAAACTTACTATAATTGTGACATAATTTGTTCTTTATTTTGGAGCTGATAATGAAGTAAAAAAGAAAAATGGAATAAAAGATAGGGCAGTCATAGGTGAGTTAAAATTTGTTAATTAAACAAATATTTACTGAATAACTAGGCAGTGCTAGACACTATATTAGGAGCTAAAAATATGAATAAGTAAAATGAACTTCTAAAACTTATAGTACTAGCTGTGGCAACATTGTTTTTGTATATACTTTTTAAAAATATAGTTCATTTGGTAAACATAGAGACAACACATTTATTTTAAAATACTCATTTTGTTCTTAGACAACTAGTTTAATAGTTTCCCTTCCATGTTATTTTGTTATTATATGGCCATTTCTTATTACGTGAGATTTCTTTTGGCTACATCTAGATCTGAAAAAATATTTAGTAATATTATTGTTTTGAGACAGCATGCTATTTTATTACTTTTAGATTTCTTAGTAATCTTGGCAAGTAAAAAAATCACAAAATTATAGGTATTCATGGAAAATCATACCTTGAATAATTGTTTTAATTTAATAAATAGAGATTGTAAAGTTGGCAATTCAAGTAAAATCAAGCCTTCCAACTCAACTTTTTAAAGCCTTTATTGATTATTGTTTGGTTTCTGCATTGCCATAATTAATTAAATAATTACCTGATCAAAATGTTTTATTCATCTTTATAAAGTTAAGGATTTGTGTTCTGAAGTACAATAAACACCAAGGGATGATTTTCTTTCATTATTTCAAACAGCAAGTAGGACTTATAACACATAAACTTCACACTGTTGTATGATTTGTTATTTTTCTTATTCCCATCAATACACTTGTTTTCTAAAGGAGAGAAGATTGATGTCAGTAACGTGGATGCTATTCTGAAAAACATGGATATAAAACTTACAGAAGAAGAACAACAATATCTACTAGACCACCTGTCTGCTACTGGTGAGGCTTTAAAATATCTCATTATGGTTATGACTTTGGAGACTTTTCTGTGGGAGTTTCTAATTCTGTACTTATTTCAATTGCCTAGGCTAAATATTTTTTTTAAATTATTTTCATACCATTACAAAAGTCCTGCTACTTACTATTTGACAGTCTAAGCAATAGTAAACTTCTTAGACATTAGTACCTGATTCACCCTCCTGTCAGATTATTCTCCCTAAAGCACAGCTTTTAATGTGCTACCCTGCTGTTCAAAAACCTTTAGTGACTATGCACACCTGTATTTTTGCCTCAACTGTTTTCATTTTTTAAAATTGAGTATAATGTATGTATAATAAAACCACAGATTAAGATTACAATATGATCGGCTTTTTTATTCAATAAATATTTAAGGAATACTATTTGCAACAACTGGGAGAAAAATAATTCTAAATACAGCAATAACACACCCCTGAGACACTTTGAAATTAACCAGTCTTTACTTTCCAAGGGGATTGTGGAGAAGTGTTATAAATAAGGGTAAATAACAGAATTGAATAATCTATCTAGTCAGGAATGGAGTCTCCAAGTCTCTTTGCTTTTCTGTCATTTGAAAGTAAATCACAGCTACAGAATAAAGGAAAACAATATTCATAGATATGGGTGATGAATTCACCTTTCCAGAGAATTTCCTTATGCTCCTTGCCAGTTAGTTACTTATTCCCTCCCAAGAGACAAACCACATTTCTACCACATTCTTATTACCATTGATTATTTTGCCTGTTACAGAACTTCCTCTAAATGGAATTATACAGTATAATCTTATGTATATAATATTTTGTGTATGGCTGCTTTACTCAACAAGGTTTCGAGATCCATCAGTGGTGTTGAAAGTTTCAGTAGTTCTCTCCTCTTTTTGCTAAATAGTATTTCATTGGATGGGTTTATCAACATTTGTTTATCCTTTCTCCTGATATTAGACATTGGATTGCTCCAGTTTTTTATGGTTATAGTCACTACAAACATTTAAACTTATAGTTTGACTACACTATAAGTTTGTAGTGACTAGAAAAAACTGCTATTGTTTTTTTCAAAGTGGCTGTACCATCTCTGATATTGGCATTTCAGTTGCTCTGCAGACTTCCTAGCACTCGGTAGCATAAGCTATACATTTTTTACTATCATCATATGTGTGTATTGGTATTTCATTGTGGCTTTAATTTGTATTTCCCTATGGACAAGTAATGATGAACAACAAGTTTTTTTTTTTTTTTTTGAAAGGGAGATTCGCTCTTGTTTGCCAGGCTGGAGTTTCGCTCTTGTTACCCAGGCTGGAGTGCAATGGCGCAATCTCGGCTCACCGCAACCTCCGCCTCCTGGGTTCAGGCAATTCTCCTGCCTCAGCCTCCTGAGTAGCTGGGATTACAGGCACGCACCACCATGCCCAGCTAATTTTTTGTATTTTTAGTAGAGACGGGGTTTCACCATGTTGACCAGGATGGTCTCGCTCTCTTGACCTCGTGATCCACCCGCCTCAGCCTCCCAAAGTGCTGGGATTACAGGCTTGAGCCACCGCGCCCGGCTATAATAAGTCTTGAAGTCTTATTGTCTACCAACTTTGTTCTTTTTTTGCAAAATTGTTTTGGCTATTGTATTTTTTTATTTCTTTTTTTTAATTAATCCTGTCCCTCTAAAGAAATTATTGTATTTATGATTTTTTTTTGTTTTTTGCTTTTTCATATAAATTTTAGAATCAGCTTCTCAATTTCTACCTGAAATTTCTGCTAAGATTTTTATTAACATTGCATTTAATCAATCAATTTGGGAAAATTGACAATTTAACAATATTGAATCTTCTAATCTATGACAAGGTATATGTCTTCATTTATTTATCTTTGATTTTGCTCATTAGTGTTTTATAGTTTTTAACACAGAGATCTGTAAGTATGTGTATGGTTTTCTTACATTTCCTGTGGTACTGATAGCACACAGATCTTATACATGTTTTGCCTGATTTATACTTAAGTATTTCATGGTTGTTGGTACTACTGCAAATAACAATTCAAAAATCTTTCAATTTCTAATTATTTATTATTAGTATATAAAAACATCATGTATTTTTATAGATTGGTCTGTAAATTCATCTGCTAGTTTTAACTTTTTTGGCAGAATCTTTAGAATTTTCATTGAAAATATATATATCTCTATGAATAGAGACTGGGTTTATTTCTTTATTTTTTTTTTTTTTCTTTTTTTTTTTTTTTTTTTTTTTTTGAGACAAGAGTCTTGCTCTGTCACCCAGACTGGAATGCAGTGGCACTATCTCGGCTTACTGTGGGTTAAAGCAATTCTCTGCCTCAGCCTCCCGAGTAGCTGAGATTACAGGCACCAGGCACTACGCCCAGCTAATTTTTGTATTTTTAGTAGAGACAGGGTTTCACCATCTTGGACAGGCTTGTCTTGAACTCCTGACCTCATGATCTACCACCTCAGCCTCCCAAAGTGCTAGGATTAAAGGCTTTATTTTTCTAATCCACATCCACATGCCCTTTGTTTTCCTTGCCTTATTGTACTGGCTAGGACCTCCAGCACAAAGTTGAATAGGAGTGATGAGACCAGATATCCTTCCCTTGTTCCCATTTTAGGGGGAAAGAAATCAGTTTTTCACCATTCAGTATGATGTTATGTGTTTTTCAACGCCCTTCATTGAAGATTGAAGGAATTTCATTTAATTCCTAGTTTCCCGAGAGTTATCATTTATGGATAATCAATTCTGTTAAATGCTTTATCTGCATCCATTGAAGTGTTCAGCTTTTTTTCCTTATTTAGTTAATATAGTAAATTACATTGATTGACTTTCTAATGTTAAACCAATTTTGTACTCGTAGGATAACTCTCATTTGGTCATAATATATTATCTCTTAAATATATTGCTTGATTCAATTTGCAAATATTTTTGAGGATATTTACACCTAAGTTCATGAAGAAGTTTAGATTGGAGGGTTTTTATTTTGTTTTGCTTGTTTGTTTTCTGTTTTTGAGACAATTGTCTTACTCTGTTGCCCAGGCTGGAGTGCAGTGGCATGATCATGGCTCACTGCAGCCTCAACTTCCTGAACTGTAGTGATCCTTCTGCCTCAGTCTTGTGAGTAGCTGGGACTACAGGCATGAGCCATTGAATTTGGCCAGATCGTACCTTTTTTTCTTATACTATCTTCATGTGATTATAGTGTCAGAGTAACGCTGCTCTCATAGGAAGAATTGGAAAGTGTCCCTCCCTCTCCTGTTTTCCGGAAGAGCTTGTATAGAATTAGTATCATTTTTTCCTTAAACGTTCAATTGAATTGATCATTGAAGCCTTCCTCTTTTGGAATTTTCTCGATTGGAAGGTTTTAAGTATTCATTTAATTTCTTTAATAGATAGATACATGAATATTTTGCCTACCTATTTTGTTTTAGAGATCCTTGATAGTTTGTGTTTCAAGAAATTTGTTCTTTTTTTTAGATAGAACATTTATAGATAAAAAGTTGCTCATTATATTTGCTTATTACCTGTTTATTGCCTCCAGGATCTGTAGTTGTTTTCCCCTCTTTTATTCCTGATTGTTGGTTGGTTATTTGTGTATTCTCTGTTATTTTTTGATCATATTACCAATTTTATTTATTTATTAAAACCAGCTTATAGTTTCATTGATTTATTCTCTTAGTTTTATGTTTTCAATTTTACCACCTTCTGTTCTTTATTTGCTTGCTTGTTCTTGCTTTAGATTAATGTTGTTTTTCTTGTCAAGTGGAAGATTAGGTCACTGTCTTGATAGCTTTCTTTCTAGTATAACCATAAATACTACCCACTTTTTCTTTCAGCGCTACTGAACTATATCCTACAGTTTTATTGTATTTTTATCATTCAATTCAAAATATTTTCTAATTATTCTTATGATTTCCACTTTGACCTATAGATTATTTAGTGTGTTATTGAATTTCCAAAGGTTTGTGCAGTCTTGCAATATTTTTCTGTTATTGTTTTCTGGTTTAATTCTGTTCTGGTCAGAAATCATACACTATATAATTTATATTCTTTTGAATTGGTTGAAGTTTATTTTATGGCCTATTTTACCTATTTAATAAGTATTAATTACTTATTGTTATATAACAAATCACTCCCAAAACTTAACGGCTTAAAATGAGAACCACTTATTTGCATACAGCTTCAGTGGATCAAAAATATGGGAGTGGCAGGGTGGAGCGGGTAGGAAACAGCAAATACAGAAGCTACTGCGCGGGAGTCGGCCATGGACTGGAAAGAAGTTCTTCGCCAGCGCTTAGCGACACCCAACACCCGTCCAAACAAAAAAAAAAAAAGTGAACAAGAATTAAAAGATGAAGAAATGGATTTATTTACAAAATATTACTCTGAATGGAAAGGAGGTAGAAAAAACACAAATGAATTCTATAAGACCATTCCCCGGTTTTATTATAGGCTGCCTGCTGAAGATGAAGTCTTACTGCAGAAATTAAGAGAGGAATCAAGAGCTGTCTTTCTACAAAGAAAAAGCAGAGAACTGTTAGATAATGAAGAATTACAGAACTTATGGTTTTTGCTGGACAAACACCAGACACCACCTATGATTGGAGAGGAAGTGATGATCAATTATGAAAATTTTTTGAAGGTTGATGAAAAGTCTGGAGCAAAGTGCAACAATTTTTCACAGCAAAAGTCTTCGCTAAACTCCTTCATACAGATTCATATGGAAGAATTTCCATCATGCAGTTCTTTAATTATGTCATGAGAAAAGTTTAACTTCATCAGACAAGAATAGGACTCAGTTTATACGATGTCGCTGGGCAGGGGTACCTTCGGGAATCTGATTTAGAAAACTACATATTGGAACTTATCCCTACATTGCCACAATTAGATGGTCTGGAAAAATCTTTCTACTCCTTTTATGTTTGTACAGCAGTTAGGAAGTTCTTCTTCTTTTTAGATCCTCTAAGAACAGGAAAGATAAAAATTCAAGATATTTTAGCATGCAGCTTCCTAGATGATTTATTGGAGCTAAGGGATGAGGAACTGTCCAAGGAGAGTCAAGAAACAAATTGGTTTTCTGCTCCTTCTGCCCTAAGAGTTTATGGCCAGTACTTGAATCTTGATAAAGATCACAATGGCATGCTCAGTAAAGAAGAACTCTCACGCTATGGAACAGCTACCATGACCAATGTCTTCTTAGACCGTGTTTTCCAGGAGTGTCTCACTTATGATGGAGAAATGGACTATAAGACCTACTTGGACTTTGTCCTTGCATTAGAAAATAGAAAGGAACCTGCAGCTCTACAATATATTTTCAAATTGCTTGATATTGAGAACAAAGGATATCTGAATGTCTTTTCACTTAATTATTTCGTTAGGGCCATACAGGAACTAATGAAAATCCATGGACAAGATCCTGTTTCATTTCAAGATGTCAAGGATGAAATCTTTGACATGGTAAAACAAAAGGATCCTTTGAAAATCTCTCTTCAGGATTTAATCAACATTAATCAAGGAGACACAGTTACCACCATTCTAATTGATTTGAATGGCTTCTGGACTTATGAGAACAGAGAAGCTCTTATTGCAAATGACAGTGAAAACTCTGCAGACCTTGATGATACATGATCTCTGAAAGACTAGATTGTCTTCAGTAAGAGATATTTGAATGCTGCATGTAAAGCCTTTAAAGCAAAATCCTTAGAAATGGTCAAAATAAAACATATATGTCTAGAGAAAAAAAAAAACCTATAGGAGTGGCATAAGGGGTGGCTCTGGCTTAGGATCTCTGATGAGGCTGCAGTTAAGATGTAGGTTAGGGTTGCAGTCATCTGAAAGTTTCGCTGAGGTTGGAGGATTCACCTCCAAGATTACTCACTTGCACAGTTATTGCTAGTAGCAACTTTAGTACCCCCTGGGTCTATTGGCCAGAGGCCTTTGTTCCTTGCCATGTGGATCTCTCCATAGGGGTGAAAGATTTTAATTTTTCCTTCATTTTGAAAGGTTTTTTCCCTTTGTATAGAATTATGGGTTGACAACTTCCCCACTCTACTTGTATTCTAGTATTTTAAAGATATAACTGCATAATATCCTGTCTTGCATAGTTTTTGTTGAGAAGTGTGCTACAATACTTTTCCTCTTTATGTAATATGTTCTTTTTCTTTAGCTGCCGTTAATTTTTGTTTTTATCCTATGCCTCCTCTCTGTGGCAGCCAAACACTGCATTTCATTGTAGTGGGCCTTGTGTGGGAGACAGCTTCTTGTTCCTTTTCCAGTAGTTGGAGATATTACTTGGCATTGGCATAGGATCCTAGCCCCAAGATGGTATCCTACTTCTCTCTCAGGGGGAGGGAAGTTTTTCAATTTACTATTTCCTATCTCACCAACCCTCAGTGTGTTTTGTGATTTGTGCCTTGAGAATGACAGAATTTGTTGCCCCTTCCCAGCAGCATACAGCTTTTGAGCCTTATGAAAGAAGGGCCCATGCAGGCCTTGTGTCTTTTACATGATGGTGGTTACTCCTCTCCTCCAGTCTGGCTTCAATGTGGAAGGCACTTTCTGATCCTGTGCCATGCCCCAATCTTTCTGTCATGAGCACCTGGAGGTGGTACATGAAGAAGAATCTGCCAAGTGTTCTCTCAGATTTTATTTTCAAATATTTTAAACCTGCAGAAAATTTGCAGATATAACATAATGAACATCTGTTTACCCAACATCTGTATTCAAAAATTGTTAATACTTTGCCACATTTTTTATTGCCATCTATTTATCTATATAAGATAGATTATTTTCAAGACTATAATAATTCTTCCCAATTCTTTATAATTTTATTTTACCATTCTACTCTGTAAGAGGTAGAGTATCTCCCTATCCTTTGAATCTGGGTTAGTATTGTGACTTTTCTTAATGAATAGAATGTGGTGGAAGTCACATCCTGGGTCTTGCAAATCTGGATTTTAATAGCCCTATCAACTTCTGCTTTCATTATTGGATCCCTGAGCTGCAGCAAAGAATTCCACGGAGAAAGAGAAACCTTGGGAGATTTTAAGATCACAAGGGGACATCCTTTAAGAAGTCTTAAAGGGTGAAAGACCACAAGAATAGGGGCCCCAATATTCTACTTTTCCTCGTTGAAAAGCTAGATGTGTGAACAAGTCAACCCCAAATACATCCATCTGAGCAAGTCCTGCCAACCCTACATAGAGTAGAGACAGGCCATCCCCAGTGAGGCCTGCAATTCCTGATGCACAGAATTTCAATTATAAAAATTGTTACAGAAATATCTTTACTCCTGTTTTATATTTTGGTTTATTTTCACTGATTACTTGCAGGTTGGTTGTGCTAAATATTAAACAAAGGCATTCCTAAAACAAAGACACTTCTCTCATAACCACATTCTCTTATTATATATCCACTGCCTATATATAAGTCTTTAGCTTAGTATTTAGCATCCTCTTTGTTGTGGTCTCAACATAAATTGTCAATCTATGACCAGTCTGGAAAAGTACTGCCAATTGGTTCAGGGATTATCATTCTAAATCCAACTATGTGTGATGCAAGTACATGCTTTAAAGATAATCAAGTATTATGGGTAGGTATTATTTTACATTAAAAACCTATTAACTTTACTTAAAGCAACGTAAGTGCTCATCAACAGGTGAATGGATAATGGAAATGTGGTACTTATACACAATGGAGTACTGTTCAGCCATAAAAAAACAATGAAATCCTGTCATTTTCATTCCACTATGAATGGAACTGGAGGTCATTATGCTAAGTGAAATAGGCAAGGCACAGGAATACAAACATTGGATTTTCTCACTTATTTTTGGGATCTAAAGATTAAAATAATTGAATTTTTAATTCAAGGGGACAGAGGGTAGAAAAATGGTTACCAGAGGCTGGAAAGTGTAATGAGAAGGTGTTGGGGAGGTGGGAATGGTTAATGGGTACAAAAAAAGTAGTTAGAAAGAATGAAGAAGACCTCATATTTGATAGGATAACATGGTGACTACTGTCAACAATAATTTAATTGTACATTTAAAAATAACTAGATTATAATTGGATTGTTTGTAACACAAAGGATAAATGTTTGAGGGGCTGGATACTCCATTTTACATGATATGATTATTATACATTGCATTCCTGTATCTAAACATCTCATGTAACTCATAAATAAATACACCTACTATGTACCCACAAAAATTTAAATTTAAAAGTTTTAAAAATTATTAACTTTCCTTAATTTATAGAACAAAACCTTTTAAATCACAGTTGGCTAAGAAACTTCAAAAAGCCTCTTAGCCTCCTAGCAAATAATCAGAAATTACATGGCTTATTTGCAGCAGTTAATGTTACCTAGAGTCTGTTTGAGGTATTACTAAAGATTCTTATCATTGATTCTTACTCTCTTGGTCTTATGAGAATAATTATAGTTTCAAAGATTATACATATGTGCATGTAAATTATATTTACATATTCTTTTACTGTACAATTGGTATTTATTTTTTCTTTCCACACAGATAATTATCTGCATATATATAGAGGCCAGAGGGTAGCATCAAGTCATGCTGCTGTTACTTGTAATTGTTTGCTAATTAAAATCATATCTCCTTTAACTTCTTTTTATGGACCTTGCCAAATGTGAAAAGGAGAAACATTGATAATAGAGTTTCTTCTTTCCATATATTTAGGAATATTTGTTTGGCTACTTTCCGTGAAAAAACTATTCTCCAGGCCACTGTAACAAGCCCCCAGATCATATATTACATGTAGAGATTAGATAGGAAATTTAACAAATTAGATTTTATATTTTAAAAAGATGTTATAAATATCAATGTTATATTCAAATGAGAAAAGATATATAGTATGACTCTTTTTATATCAGAAGAATAGATATAGACTCTGCTTCTATTACTTTTAAAATAAAAATACTAGTGGCTATTTTTTTTTAGCATATATAGTGTGTCAGGCATAAGTCTAAGTACTTCTTCTGTCTCTTTTAATGCTTACTCAAAGCCTATGAGATAGGTAGTATTATTTTCTCTGTTTAGAGATGAGGGAGTAAAAACAACAGGTGAAGAAATTCTAGAAGAAATGGTAAAAATTACCAAATGTGAATGATTTTTTGAATATCAATGCCAATATATATGAATTTATCTTATAGCTGATGAAGATATGGATATGAATACATTGACAGGGGTTGTGAAGATGCTTAAAGGTGAGCAAAAATTGCCATGTCAAGATTGATAAAAGCAGTATGCTCCTTTCCACATTTTTCTCCATTTTTGTTCATCCTTGTATTTTATTAATAGGTTACTTTTACCATTTACTAAAATGGTTAAAAATTAAAAGGTACAGAAAGGCTAAAAATAAAATGAAACAATTCCTTATTCCATTTTTCCCCGCCTCCAGTCACACTCCCCTTAACTTTTCACTTAAAAACTTGAATTTTATCATTGGCAACAAACATTGTCAATTGTTTTCCTTGAAGTCTGATGGGTTCACTTTACTGATTTTCAAAAGGTCTTCCATATATCCATATCTGAATAAGTATAGTTTGCCTTTCATTCTTTCAAGTAAAACTGTTATCCATGGAGAAAGCAGCTAGTTCAGCTCATAGCTTAATCACGACATGCTTTTCCCCAAGAAAGCTCTTTTAGTTCTATATGTAGCAGAAGTACTCTCTGTATTTCATCATACAAAATACTCAAAAGACATATAATTATCAAGATATTTTTAAGTAAAATTTATTTATTATTTTAGCACAAAGTCATGGCAGTAAAAAATATAATGACTAGTAGTATTGCTTGGTGCTTCTGCCTTGGTTTGTGATCAGATGCCATCAATTTTACCCACTTTTGTTTTTATATTATCAGTACAAATGTCAACACAATGAAAAAGGCAAATAATGTGTAATTACTGTTATGAAAATAGTTTTGACTTTGTGGGTTCCCTGAAAAGATCTTAGCAATTCCCGATGGTCTGCAGACAACGCTGTAAGATCTGCAGTTCTAGATGTTATCTATTGACACCCTGCTACTGATGATGATGATAGTTTTGCTCCTGATGTAGCTTCCACATCCCTTCCCTTTCTCAAGTTGTTATACATAAAAGATTAGTTTCGCTTCTTCTGTTCATTGAATTAGTAACTTTAAATAATAAACACTAGCCTCTATTTCTTCTTCCATATCCTTTTGACAGTATCTCTTGACTCTCTACCATAGAATCAAAGAATATTAGTGCCTTTAATCCTCTTTAACTTCAATTTCCAGAAATCTGTTGGTTTTACTCTTCCATTGTTTAGGGTATATAATTATATGTATATATCTACAGATATATAATACATAAATAATTTTTTTAAAGTATATGTGTAATTTTAAAGTATATGTATACATATATAATTATTTGTATATATCTACAGATATGTGTATATGTCCATGTAATTATATGTATATATCTGCAGATATGTATATATGTATATGTAATTATATGTATATATCTACAGATATGTGTATATGTGTATTTCTAAAGTTTCTGAGTTTATTAGTGGGCTAGTAATATAGTTACTTCTTTTAGAGTTATGACATCTGTAATACCCAAAGGAGAATGTCCTGATGTCCTGGATTCTTCCTTTTTATCAATATTAATACCTCAATGTCATGCCACATTTTAGTCATGCCACATATCTTTTTCTCCTGGAATTTCTGCTGGAGTTTCTTTTTCCTTTTTTCTTGTCAAATGATGGAACCAATGAGCTGTTGGCCACATTAGTAACATCTTATAGCTTCTTACTCATTCCGCATAATGGATTCTATTCTATTATATTGTCCACAATGATAGTTTATCTGGGAATATAATTCTAGGTTCAAAATTATTTTCCTTCAGAATTTAAAAAAAAACCAGCTTGAATCATTATTTATAAGAATCCAGTGTAGTCAATAAGAAGTTTGATGACAACCTAAGGTATGTTCCTTTGTGTCTCATTGTTATTTTTTTTCTTTCTTTCTTTCTTTTTTTTTTTTTTTTTTGAAACCGAGTTTCACTCATGTTGCCCAGGCAGTGGCGTGATCTTGGCCCACTGCAACCTCCACCTCCCGGGGTCAAGCAATTCTCCTGCCTCAGCCTCCGGAGTAGCTGCATTACAGGCACCCACCAGCACTCCCAGCTAATTTTTGTGTTTTTAGTAGAGATGAGGTTTCACTATGTTGGCCAGGCTCATCTCAAACTCCTGAACTCAGGTGACCTGCCCACCTCAGCCTCCCAAAGTGCTGGGATTACAGACATGAGCCCCTGCACCTGCCTGATTGTTTTTCTTTTCTCTTTGAGGCAAGACTTTTCTCCTTATCTTGGCGATCTGAAATTTTACAATGATGGGTCCAGTTGTGGATCATTTTCATTTTGCTTGGAACTCTGTGGGCTTTCTCAGCTTGCTTGTGTCTCTCTGAAGACCTATTTTTTTTTAAGTCTCACAGCCTTATTTTTAATTTTTTTCCAGAATCTTTAAGTTCTTACTATTAATTTTTAACTTTTAAGGATGCTTCCTTTTTATTCATTTCACATAGTCCCACATTCATGCATTATAAGTATACTATCTTCCAGAATCTCTTTTAGCATATTAGAGATCTTTGTTGGTTTAAATTATCTTTCATTTCCTTAATCATCTATTTATATAGTTAAGAATGAGAGACTGAATAGATCATACCTGGTAACCAATATGAGTTGGTCTTGTTTTTCTATCTGTGGATTGGTTGAGCTCTTAGGTCTCCAGCATAAATAAAAGTCCTGTGTATGAATGAAATGAAAGAAATGTGTTGTGTGCCAAGCTTTGCTGCAGAGAGAGCAGGTGGAGAGGCAACAGTTAGCTCAGAGGTCCTCTAAATGGCAGAATTAGTTGTGCTTTATTCTCAGTCATGAAAACCCACCTTGACAGCTGTGGTTTTCATTCTGTTGCTGGAGGGTTCTCCAGTATTTTGATCAGGGAGTAAATGCTGAACTGCCAGTTTCTCTGTGACTCAGGGATTTTAGAGGAGAGGTTGAGACTGGCTGATACAAATATTCCATAGGCAGACCTTCATTTAACCTCTTTATTTTCAAATTTTACCTTCCTCCTGCCTTTTTAATTTTAAACTTAGTATCTGCCAAAACTGAGCATTGAGCTTTTCTGGTGTTTTTTGTTTGTTTGTTTTTTTCTGGGCAAATTGGCTTCCTTCACATCTTTACTTCTATCTACCTAGTCCTTTGAATAGTCTAGACTGTGCTTTCTTCCACCCTGTTTTATCAATTGTATCTACTTGTTTACTTCTTTGTTGTATGTCTCCCCAACATAGTATATAAACTAGTAGAGACAGAGAATTTCTGTTTTGTTCACTACCATGTCCCTTTGAATTTATTATGAGTTTATTACCTTTTCCCCTTATTTTAATCCATTTCAATTGTTTTAAAGGGGTCTTGGCAAGAAAAGGAGAAAAACGTGTGTTTATTGCAAGCCTTTGGGGTTACTTGTGATAATATTTTTCATGGGAAGAAAAACTCGTGTACTTTTATGTGTTCACCTACATTTTGGCAGAAATCTTTTTTGTTTTTTTGGTTTTGCTAAAAACGTAGAATTTGAAGATACTGGAAATGAAAAAAAGTTTTATACTGCTAATGCGAACTTAGTTACAACCTAAATATCTATGGAAAAATCAACATGTGAAATATTTATTGTTATCAGTTGAATATAGTCAACAATGGTAACGAATATATGAAGTAGTCTCAAATTAAGCCTTTCAGGTAAAATTTTACTGCTTTCAAGTAAAATTTATATGAACTGATTGTCTGTGTTATCATATAATGCCCAACAATTTTTACTGTGTCTTCGGTCTTTTATCATCACACACTGAAGCATAATGAAGGGAATGACTTTTATTTTAATTCTCATTATTCTAATGAACAACTCTCACTGTTTGTTGTTCTTAATGATAGTAAAGCACTGTGTTTTCATACTCCAAAATCGTTAGAAAGATCACAATTTCTTGTTATGTACTTTTCTGTGTCTTCAAAGAAAAAATTGAGATCTGTAACCTGGACAATTTCCTGGAAGATATGGGGATTGAGCTTACATATGAGGAACACAGAGAGCTAGTAAATCGTCTCCCAACCAGTGGTGAGCATTTCAATTATTTTGGTGCCTTTCAAGGAGGGTATTGAGTTTAATTATAAGAAATACTGATACTGTACTTTTAATTACTATGAGTACACAGAAATATCCAGTACTAAAGAAGGGGATATGTTTGCACATGTACATTTATTATTACTATTATGATTTTTTTTTGAAATGGACATTAAGATTTTAAATGAATATTAACATTGTTATACTGAAAGTATTGGGACCCTAAATATCACTGACTAAACTATATAGTCTCAGAAACATCATTAAGGTGATTGGAAAGCCAAATATAGGCAGACCAAAGAAGAAATTTGGGGAATATAGGTGAGGGAGGCAAAGATGAAGAATGAAAAAAGAAAAATAAGTTTAAGTTCCGTTTTACAAGTTATTAAGAGGAGCCTAAGGCAGTGTCATGAAATTCTAATGTATTTAGGTTAATCTGTCATAGTAATAAAGGTGGCTTTCATTTACACAATGCTTACTATGTAGTAGAGACTATGTTTACTTCACAATATAATCCAAGAATAAATGAATATACATAATGTCTAAAATAAATATTATTTTCTTCCTACATATTGAATCATCAATGTCAGAATATAGATGTGAAAAAAGTTAATGAATTGCTGCTCCAATAGAGTGGTGGATGATTATAGCTACACACTAGTTTTTGTATTAGTCCATTCTTGCATTTTTATAAAGAAATACCTGAGACTGGGTGATTTATTAAAAAAAAAAAAAGAGATTAATTGGTTTACACTTCCATAGGATGTACAGGAAGCATGATCTGTTCAACTCCTGGGGAGGCCTCAGGAAACTTATAATCATGGCAGAAGGTGAAGGGGAAGCAGGCATGTCACATGGCCAAAGCAGGATCAAGGGGGTGGGGAGGTGTTACACTTTTAAACAACCAGATTTCCTGAGAACATTCACTATCACAAGAACAGCATGAAGGGGATGGTGGTAAACCATGCATGAGAATCTACCCTCATGATTCAATCACTTCCCACCAGGCCCTACCTCCAATACTGGGGATTACAATTTGACATGAAATTTGGGTGGGGCCACATATCAGTGTTTAATGAGAAAGAAATAGGTCTAATTCTTGCTCATTTGCTCATTTATTCATTTAGCAAATACTTATTGAGGACCTGATGAATCAGGCCTGTTCCTGCCATCAAGGAATTGTATAGTTCCTTTGTGGGGAGTGGGAAATATACAAAGACAATTGGAAAGTAAAATGTTAAAAGTGCCACAATTATTGAGAGTAAGTAGACAATAAATACTTGTGGAATGATGGGAGGGGGAAAGTAGAAGGAAGGAAATAATGGTTACTTTCAGGTTACTGGAAGTAGTTAAATCTGATGAGGTGATTTAAAAAAAAAAAAAGAGCTGCTGCTACAAAAGTGGGCAAGGCAGTATCATACAGTAACTTTATCCTACATGTCATAGTAAGATAAAGAACCATTATTCCAAGAATAAATGAATGTGCATAATGTCTAAAATAAATATTATTTTACTTGTTTGAGCCATTGAAGATTTTCTTCTTTGAGAGTGACATCATATTTTGTCCTTTAAACTTTTTAGAGGCTTCAGGATAAATTTCATACATTTTGCTCAGAAAAATAACAAACAAGGAAAACCCTTATTGATCTTCTCTTAGCTGTATGTCCACCTCATTTCTCTCTCTCTCCTACCATACACTTCCAAGTCAGTGATCAAAATGAACTGGGCAGCTTGTTGAAAAAAATTCAAACATAGAAATATATTCACACCCACACACTTCAGATAATCATGTGATTTTTGTATTAAACATTGCTTATGTGGTGTATCACATTTATTGACTTGTGTATGTTAAGCTATCCCTGCATCCCTGCTATGAAACTCACTTGATCATGGTGGGTTATTTTTTGATATGTTATTGGATTCAGTTAGCTAGTATTTTGTTAAGGATTTTAGCATCTATCTTGATCAAGGATATTGGTCTTGTAGTTTTCTTTTTTTGGTTATATTCTTTCCTGGTTTTGGTATTAGGGTGATACTGGCTTCATAGAAAGAATTAGGGAAGGTTCCTTCTTTCTCTGTCTTGAGGAATAATGTCAAAAGTATTGGTACCAATTATTCTTTGAGTGTCTGGTAAAATACTGCTATGAATCCCTCTGGTCCTAGACTTTTTTTGTTGGTAATATTTAATTACCATTTCGATCTTGCAGCTTGTTATTGGTCCGTTCAGGGTATTTAAGTCTTCCTGATTTAAGCTAGGAGGGTCATATTTTTCCAGGAATTTATCCATCTCTTCTAGGTTTTCTAATTTATGGGTGTAAAGGTGTTCATAGGAGCCTTGAATGATCTTTTGTATTTCAGTGCTGTCAGTAGTAATATCTCCTGTTTCATTTCTTTGTGAGGTTATTTGGATTTTCTCTCTTCTTTTCTTGGTTAATCTTGCCAATGGTCTATAAATTGTATTTATCTTTTCGAAGAACCAGCTTTTTGTTTCATTTACCTTTTGTAATTTTTTTTTTGTTTCAATTTCATTTAATTCCAGTCTGAGGTTGGTTATTTCCTTTCTTCTGCTGGGTTTGTTTGGGTTTGGTTTGTTCTTGCTTCTCTAGTTCTTTTAGGTGTGACCTTAAATGTTAGTTTGTGCTCTTTCAGTCTTTTTGACTTAGGCATTTATGTTATTCGAGTCCAATAGTACCGAATATTAAATGCGTTTAATAAAGAGATCTTCCAAACAGGCTTTGTGTGGGCAACAAAGCCATTTTATTTCTGGCTTGGGTACAAGCAGGACTAATTCAAGAAAGGACAGGCAAATGGGGTAAGGTGGGAATTGGCTTTATAGGTTGGGGTAGTGTTTTTGGGGGCGGGGGTGTTGAACAGTAAGATCAGTTACAGTGGTGGGGGGTAGGGAAAAGGAGTATACATGACCACAAGTTCAGTTACAGTGGTGGGTGGGGGTGAGGCAAAGGTATTCACATTATCATAAGAACAGTTAAGATGGCAGGGTTGGGTGAGAGGATTCACATTATCATAAGAACAGTTAAGGTGGCAGGGTTGGGTGAAAGGCTTGTTAGGGAAGCTCTGCTGGGCGATCAGGGACAATGGCAAATGCCAGCGAGGGGTAGGAGATGATCAGCTGAGGCAAGCAGGACTTCAGACTTTCAGGCTCCAGGCTTACATATGGAGAACTGACAGTTTAGAGCTATGAGCTTTCCTCTTAGCACTGCCTTCACTGTATTTCAGAGGTTTGGATAGGTTGGGTCATTATTGTCATTCAGTTCAAAGGAATTTTTTATTTCCATCTTGATTTTGTTTTTGACACCATGCTTATTCAGGAGCAGGTTATTTAATTTCCATGTATTTTCATGGTTTTGAAGGTCCCTTTTGGAGTTGATTTTCAGTTTTATTCCACTGTGCTCTGAGAGAGTGCATAATATAATTTCAATTTTCTTAAATTTATTGAAGCTCATTTTGTGGCCTGTCATATGGCCTATCTTGGAGAAAATTCCGTGTGCTGTTGTATTCTGTGGTTGTTGGATGAAATGTTCTGTATATATCTGTTAAGTCCATTTGTTCCAAGGTATAGAGTCAATTTATTGTATCTTTGTTGACTTTCTGTCTTGATGACCTGTCTAGTGCTGTCAGTGTAGTATTGAAGTCCCCCACTATTATTGTGTTGCTGTCTATCTCATTTCTTAGGTCTATTAGTAATTGTTTTATAAATTTATAAAACTGCTCCACTGCTAGGTGCATATTAGGATTGTGATATTTTCCTGTTGTACAAGGCCTTTTACCATTGTATACTATCCCTCTTTGTCTTTTTTAACCACTGTTGCTATAAGGTTTGTTTTGTCTGAGATAAAAATAGCTACCCCCTGCTCACTTTTGGTGTCCATTTGCATGAAATGTCTTTTTCTGCCCCTTTTAAGTTTATGTGAGTCATTATGTGTTAGTCAATCCTTTGAAGGCAGCAGATACTTGGTTGTTGAGTTCTTATCCATTCTGTGGTTCTGTATCTTTTAAGTGAAGCATTCAGGCCGTTTACATTCAATGTTAATATTGAAATGTGAGGTACTGTTGCTTTCATCATGCTTCTTGTTGCTTGTGTACTTTGGGCTTTTTTGTCTTTTGTTTTTGCTTTTTAACTTGTATTTTTGTTTTGTAGGTCCTATGTGATTTATGTTTTAAGGAGATTCTGTTTTGATGATTTTTTTTCATGATTTGTTTTAAGATTTAGAGCTCCTTTTAGCATTTCCTGTAGTGGTGGTTTGGTAATGGCAAATTCTCTCAGCATTTGTTTGTCTGAAAATGACTGTATCTTTCCTTCATATATGATACTTAGTTTCACTGGATTCAGAATTCTTGGCTGATAATTGTTTTGTTTGAGGAGGCTGAAGATAGGTCCTTTCTAGTTAATAGGGTTTCTGCTGAGATATCTGCTATTAATCTGGCAGGTTTTCTTTTATTGGTTACCTGGTGCTTAGGTCTCACAGCTCTTAAGAGTCTTTCCTTTGTCTTAACTTTGGATAACCTGATGACAATATGCCTAGGCAAAGATCTTTTTGTGATGATTTTCCCAGGTGTTCTTTATGCTTCTTGTATTTGGCTGTCTAGGTGTCTCACAAGGCTGGGAAGTTTTCCTTGATTATTCCCCCAAATATGTTTTCCAGGCTTTTAGAATTCTCTTCTTCCTCAGGTAGGTGCACCAATTATTCTTACATTTGGTTGTTTAACATAATCCCAGACTTCTTGGAGGCTTTGTTCATATTTTTTTATTCTTTATTCTTTGTCTTTGTTGGATTGGGTTAATTCCCACTCTGTTGGTGGGAATGTAAATTAGTATAGCCATTAAGGCAAACAGTATAGAGATAGCTCAAAAATTAAAAATAGAACTACTATATAATCCAAAAATTCTACTACTGGATTTATATATATATATATAAATGTGTGTGTGTGTGTGTGTGTGTGTGTGTGTGTGCGTATAATCATGTCAAAGAGGTATCAACATTCCCATGTCCATTGCATTATTATTCACAATAGTTAAAATATGGAATCGACCTGAGTGTTCATCAACAAATGGATAATGTTATATATGTGCATAGTGGAATGCTATTCAGCCTTTTAAAAGAAGGAAATTCTGCCATTTGCTATAATGTAGATGATCCTGGAGGACATTTATATTAATGAAATAAGCTAGTCACAGAAAGATAACTACTACTTGATTGCACTTATATGTGGAATTTTAAAGAGTTGGACTGATACAAACAGAGAGTAAAACAGTGATTATCAGAGGCTGGTGGGTGCAGAAAATGGCGGGGGGGGTGATTGTTCCACAGATGGAAGATTTCAGTTAGACACGAGGAATCAGTTGAAGACACCTATTGTTAATCATGGTGACTATAGTTAATAACCATGTATTATAAGCTTGAAAATTGCTAAAAGAGTAGACTTTGTGTTCACACTCCAAAAAATGACAAGTATGTGAAGCAATGCATAAGTTAGTTTGATTTAGCCATTCCACAATGTATGCTTATATTAAACATGTTACACACCATAAATATATATAATTTTTGTCAATTAACAAATAAGTTTTAAAAGACTTGCTCTTTATACAAATTTTTATAATTTTGTGTTATAGTGCCTTTTGTGTGACTTCCCATATTATTAATGCTTTTGTTTAAAACCTCGTATCTTTTCTCATAGCTGATGGGAAGATAAGTCAACTTAAACTGATGGATACCATAAAGACTCTTAAAGGTGAGTAATAAGACATAAACTAAAATGTTTAGCCTTCACAATAGTACTTTAATAAAGCTATTAAGTGTTTGTGCTTGTTTACAAAAATACATGTTCATAATACCCAATACTTGTAGAAAACCAAGGAAGCATAAAAAGGGCAAAAAAATCACCCCTAGTTTACAATCAAAGACAAAGTTTACTGATGTCTATATTTTGGTACATTTCTTTTAATTCTCTTTTATATTTTGCATTGAAATTCTTGGTTTTGATTTTTAGTCTTTATATTATTTCATGACTAAAAAATGCTAATCATATTTTATTGATTGATAATTTGTATCCACTGATATTGAATTTGTTTCATGGACAAAAAATTACTGTACTACTGTAACATTCAACAACTTCTATGATCTATTTATATATTTTTTCTAAATAATGTAATTTACTCTGGCTTTTTTTTTTACTTTTATACAGCTTTATTGAGATATAATTTATGTACCATGCAATCAACCCATTTAAAGTATACAATTTTAGAATATTCAGAGTCATGCAACCATCACCACAGTCTAAGTTAGAATGTTTTTATCACCCCAAAAGGAAACTCTAGACCCATTACTTTCCTCACTTTTCATCCTACCTCCTGCCCTAGGCAACCATTAATCTACTTTTGTTTCAATAGATCTACCTGTTCTGGATATTTCATAGGATAGAATCAGACAATATATGGTCTATTGTGACTGGCTTACTTTTAATTTTTGCATTGCTTTTCTAAAACTTTTAGAGATGCTTATAAGATTCACCTTAGATCTGTTACAAAGATGAACTATACCAATATATTTTCTAATGTAGAAACACCCTCACATTCTTGAAATGACTTCCTTTAATTAAATACTAGGTTGTCTTTACTAATAATTTATTTCAATTTTTACACCAATATTGTGCTGCAGATTTTCTTCTGTGCTTTTTGTGTACTACTTCATAGAATAAATTTAGAAGCTTTCCTTCTTCACTTAGCCTCTGGAGCAATTTAAATGGCATTAAATTTATCCCCTATGAAATTGCCTGGATAGAGTCCATTTTAGAAAATTAGATCTTTGACAACTTTATTTCTTCTATGTGAATTGGTCTTTCAAATTTTTCTCCCTGTTCTGGAATCTGTTTCAATAAATTTTATTCTCCTAGAAAACCATCCACTTTTAAATATTTTGGATATGTTTGCATAGGATTTTGGAAACCAGGCTCATAGGATTGGATTCATTTAATTTCATCTGCCATTGTGGTTATTTTCTTTCTCGTTTTTAATTTTATATATTTGTGTCTTCTCCCTTTTTCTTGCATAGTTAGCTGGCATTTATCCCGTGTAATATTTATTTTTTAAGACCCATCTCTTGGATATATATACATCATTGCCATTTTTCAGTTTTCTAATTTATTGACTTTTTTTTTATTATACTTTAAGTTCTGGGGTACATGTGCAGACCTTGCAGTATTGTTGCATAGGTACATGCATGACATGGTGGTTTGCTTTCTCCCTCCCCACCGTCACCTACATCAGGCATTTCTCCCAATGTTATCCATCCCCAACTTCCCCACCCACCGCTGTCCCTCCCCTAGCTCCCCACCCCCCAACAGACCCCAGTACATGACATTCCCCTCCCTGTGCCCATGTGTTGTCGTTGTTCAACACCCACCTATGAGTGAGAACATGTGGTGTTTGGTTTTCTGTTCTTGTGTCAGCTTGCTGAGAATGATGGTTTCCAGATTCGTCCATGTCCCTACAAAGGATGTGAACTCATGGCTTTTTTATGGTTGCATAGTATTCCATGGTATGTATGTGCCATATTTTCTTTGTCCAGTCTATCATTGATGGGTATTTTGCTCTTTTAAACAGTGCCGTAATGAACATATGTATGCATGTGTCTTTATAATAATAGAACAATTTATAATCCTTTGGGTATATACCTAGTAATGGGATTGCTGAGTCAAATGGAATTTCTATTTCTAGATCCTTGAGGAATCGCCACACTTTCCTACACAATGGCTGAACTAATTTACACTCCCACCAACAGTGTAAAAGTGTTCCTATTTCTCCACATCCTCTCCAGCATCTGTTGTCTCTAGATTTTTTAATGATCACCATTCTGACTGGCATGAGATTGTATCTCAATGAGGTTTTGATTTGCATTTAACTAATGAAAAGTGATAATGAGCATTTTTTCATATGTTTGTTGGCCTCTAAATGTCTTCTTTTGAAAAGTGCCTGTTCATATCCTTCGACCACTTTTGAGGGTTTGTTTGCTTTTTTCTTGTACTTCTGCTGTAGTTCTTTGTAGATTCTGGATATTAACCCTTTTTTAGATGGGTAGATTGCAAAAATTTTTTCCCATTCTGTTGGTTGCTGGTTCACTCTGAGGATTGTTTCTTTTGCTGTGCAGAAACTTTTAAGATTAATTAGATCCCATTTGTCTATTTTGGCTTTCGTTGCCTTTGCTTTTGGTGTTTCCGTCATGAAGTCCTTGCCTATGCCTATGTCCTGAATGGTTTTGCCTAGGCTTTCTTCTAGGGTTTTTATGATGTTAGGTCTTATGATTAAATCTTTAATATATCTAGAGTTAATTTTAGTGTAAAACATAAGGAAGGGGTCCAGTTTCAGCTTTCTGCACATGGCTAGCCAGTTTTCCCAACACCATTTATTAAACAGGGAATCCATTCTCCATTGCTTGGATTTCTCAGGTTTGTCAAAGATCAGATGGTTGTAGTTGTGTGGCTTTACTTCTGAGGCCTCTGTTCTTTTCCATTGTTCTATATCTCTGTTTTGGTACCAATTCCATGTTGTTTTGATTACTGTTGCCTTGTAGTATAGTTTGTAGTTAGGTAGCGTGATGCCTCCAGCTTTGCTCTTTTTGCTTAGGTTTGTCTCGGCTATGTGGGCTCTCTTTTGGTTCCATATGAAGTTTAACGTGTTTTTTTTCCAGTTCTGTGAAGAGGGTCAAAGGTAGCTTGATGGGGATAGCATTGAATCTATAAATTACTTTGGCCAGCATGGCCATTTTCACAATATTGATTCTTCCTAACCATGAGCATGGAATGTTTTTCCATCTGTGTCCTTTCTTATTTCCTTGAGCAGTGGTTTGTAGTTCACCTTGAAGAGGGCCTTCACATCTTTTGTTAGTTGTATTCCTAGGTATTTTATTCTCTTTGCAGCTATTGTGAATGAGAGTTCACTCATGATTTGGCTCTCTGTTTGTCACTGGTGTATAGGAATGCTTGTGATTTATGCACATTGATTTTATATCCTGAGACTTTGCTGTAGTTGCTTATCAGTTTCAGGAGATTTTGGGCTGAGATAATGGGGTCTTCTAAATATACAGTCATATCATCTGCAAATAGAGACAATTTGACTGCCTCCTTTCCTAATTGAATACACTTTATTTCTTTTTCTTGCCTGATTGTTCTGGCTAGAACTACTAATACTATATTGAATAGGAGTGGTGAGAGAGAGCATCCTTGTGCTAGTTTTCAAAGGGAACGCTTCCAGTTTTTGCCTATTCAGTATGATATTAGCTGTGGGTTTGTTGTAAATAGCTTTTATTATTTTGATATAAATTCCATTGATACCTAGTTTATTGAGAGTTTTTAGCATAAAGGACTGTTGAATTTTGTCGAAGGCCTTCTCTGCATCTGTTGATATGATCATGTGGTTTTTGTCTTTCGTTCTGTTTATGTGATGGATTACATTTATAGATTTGCATATGTAGAACCAGCCTTGCATCCCTGGGATGAAGCCTACCTGATCATGATGGATAAGCTTTTTGATGCACTGTTGCATTTGGTTTGCCAGTATTTTATTGAAGATTTTTGCATCAGTGTTCATCATGGATATTGGCCTGAAGTTTTCTTTTTTAGTTGTCTCTTTGCCAGGTTTTGGTATCAGGATGATGTTGGTCTCATGAAATGAGTTAGGGAGGATTCCTTCTTTTTGTATTGTTTGGAATAGTTTCAGAAGGAATGGTACTAGCTCCTCTTTATGCACCTGGTAGAATTCGGCTGTAAACCCATCAGGACCTGGACTTTTTTTGTTTGGTAGGCTATTAATTGCTGCCTTGACTTCAGACCTTGTTATTGGTCTATTCAGGGATTCAGCTTCTTCCTGGTTTAGGCTTGGGAGGGTGCAAGTGTCCAGGAATTTATCCATTTCTTTCAGGTTTACTGGTTTATGTGCATAGAGTTGTTTTTAGTAATCTCTGATGGTAGTTTGTATTTCTGTGGAATTGGTGGTGATATTCCCTTTATCATTTTTTAATGCATCTATTTGATTATTCTCTCTTTTCTTTTTTATTAGTCTGGCTATCAGTCTGTCTATTTTGTTGATCTTTTCAAAAAACCAGCTCCTGGATTTATTGAATTTTTGAAGGGTTTTTTTGTGCCTCTATCTCCTTCAGTTCTGCTCTGATCATAGTTATTTCTTATCTTCTGCTAGCTTTTGAATTTCTTTGATCTTGCTCTTCTAGCTCTTTCAATTTTGGTGATAGGGTATTGATTGTAGATCTTTCCTCATTTCTCCTCATTTCTCATGTGGGCATTCATTGCTATAAATTTCCCTGTAGACACTGCTTTAAATGTGTCCCAGAGATTCTGGTACGTTTTGTCTTCGTTTTCAATGGTTTGAAGAGCATCTTTATTTTTGCCTTCATTTCATTGTCTATCCAGTCATGATTCAGGAGCAAATTGTTCAGTTTCCATGTAGTTGTGTGGTTTTGGGTGAGTTTCTTAATCCTGAGTTCTAATTTGATTGCACTGTGGTCTGAGAAACTGTTTGTTATGATTTCCGGAGTGATTTGCTGAGGAGTGATTTACTTCCAATTATGTGGTCAAGTTTAGAGTAAGTGTGATTTGTTGCAGAGAAGAATGTATATTCTGTGGATTTAGGGTGGAAAGTTCTGCAGATGTCTATTAGGTCCACTTGGTCCAGATCTGCGTTCAAGTCCTGGATGTCCTTGTTGATTTTCTGTCTCGTTGATCTGTCATATTGACAGTGGAGTGTTAAAATCTCCCACTATTATTGTGTGGAAGTCTAAGTCTTTTTGTAGGTCATTAATAACTTGCGTTATGTATCTGAGTCCTCCTGTATTGGATGCATATATATTTAAAATAGCTCTTCCTGTTGCATTGATTGTTTTACCATTATGTAATGACCCTCTTTGTCTCTTTTGATCTTTGTTGGTTTAAAGTCCATCTTATCAGAGACTAGGATTGCAACCCCTGCTTTCGTTTGCTCTCCATTTGCTTGGTAATTCTTCTTCCATACCTTTATTTTGAGTCTATGTGTGTCTTTGTATGTGGGTTGGGTCTCCTGAATACAGCACACTGATGGGTCTTGACTTTTTGTCCAGCTTGCCAGTATGTGTTTTGTGATTGGGGCATTTAGGCCATTTACATGTAATGTTAATATTGTTATAAGTGAGTTTGATCCTGCCATTTTGTTACTGGCTGGGTTTTTTGCCTGTTAGTTGATGCAGTTTCTTCATTGTGTCATTGGTCTTTACCATTTGGTACGTTTTTGCAATGGCTGGTATTGGTTGTTCCTTTCCATATTTAGTGTTTCCTTCAGAAGCTCTTGTAAGGCAGGTCTAGTGGTGATGAAAACTCTCAGCAATTGCTTGTCCATAAAGGATTTTATTTCTCCTACACTTATGAAGCTTAGTTTGACTGGATATGAAATTCTGGGTTGAAAATTCTTTTCTTTTAGGATGTTGAATATTGGCCTCCGCTCTCTTCTGGCTTGTAAGGTTTCTGCTGAGATATCTGCTGTGAGTCTGATGGGCTTCCCTTTGTGGATGACCCAATCTTCTCTCTGGCTGCCCTTTGCATTTTTTCCTTCGTTTCAACCCTGGTGAATCTGACAATTATGTGCCTTGGGTTGCTTTTCTTGAAGAATATCTTTGTGGTGTTCTCTGTATTTCCTGGATTTGAATATTGGCCTGCCTTGCTAGGTTGGGAAAGTTCTCCCAGATAATATCCTGAAGAGCATTTTCCAGCTTGAATTCATTCTCCCCATCGCATTCAAGTACACCGATTGAGCATAGGTCAGGTCTTTTCATATAATCCCATATTTCTTGGAGGCTTTTTTCATTTCTTTTCACTCTCTTTTCTCTAATCTTGCCTTCTCATTTTATTCATTTAGTTGATCTTCAATCTCTAATATCCTTTCTTCTGCTTGATCGATTTGGCTATTGAAACTTGTGTATGCTTCACGAAGTTCTCATGCTGTATTTTTCAGTTCCATTAAGTCGTTTATATTCTTCTCTAAGCTGATTATTCTAGTTAGCATTTCGTCTAACCTTTTTTCAAGGTTTTTAGTTTCTTTGCATTGGGTTAGAACATGCTCCTTTAGCTCAGAGAAGTTTGTTATTACCCACCTTCTGAAGCATGTTTCTGTCAATTCGTCAAACTCATTTTCCATCCTGTTTTGTTCCCTTGCTGGTTAGGAGTTGTGATCCCTTGGTGGAGGAGAGGCCTTCTGATCTTTGATGGTTTCATCCTTTTTGTGCTGGTTTCTTCCCATCTTCATGGATTTATCTACCTTTGATCTTTGAAGTTGGTGATTTTGGATGGAGTCTCTGAGTGGATATCCTTTCTGTTGATGTTGAAGCTTTCTTTTTGTTTTTTAGTTTTCCTCCTAACAGGTCCCTCTGCTGTAGGACTGCTGGAGGTCCACTCTAGACCTTGCTTGCCTGGGAATAACCCATGGGGTTTGCAGAACAGCAAGGATTGCTGCCTGATCTTTCCTCTGGTAGCTTCATCCCAAATGGGTACTCACCAGGTGTCAGCCAGGGCTGTCCTGTATGAGGCATCTTTTTGGTTATACAGGGGTCAGTGAGCCACTTGAGGAGGCAGTCTGTCCCTTGTCTGCCTTTAGAGGCACTACTGGGCTGTCATGGACTCAGTCCAGCTGTTGTGTAAACTTCCTCTGGCTTTTATTTACACAGGTAGTTTTAGAACTGCCTCAGCAATGGTGGACACCCTTTCCCCCACCAAGCTTGATTGTCCCAGGTTAAGCTCGAACTGATGTGCTGGCTGCAAAACTCTCAAGTGAGAGGGCTTCAGTTTGCTGGTCTTTGTGGAGATGTAACCCACCCAGCCATGTCACCTATCTCTCTACTTTCAGCTCCCTCTCTTTCTGGAGAGCAGGTAGCTCCATCCCACACATGCTCTTGGTGCTAGTCAAAATGTCTGCCCAGATCTGTGCTAACAACCCACGGTGCCAGCCAGAGCTGCTGCTCAGATCTGTGCTGTTAGCTTGTGGCACTTTTCAGCCCGGCAGGGATCTCCTGGTCTGTGGGTTGCAGAAGCCATGGGAGAAGCACGGTATCTGAACTAGAGTGCTCAGGGGGTAGGGGATAAGTCCCTGATCCTCCAGTTGGTTGCACTTCCTGTGTGTGGCAGTACCCCACCCTGCCTTGGTTTTCCCTCCTTGGGCTACACCAATTGTCCAACCACTCCTATTGAAATGAACCTCGTACCTTGGTTGGAAACACGGAGATCACTCACCTTCTGCATCTCTCTTGCTATGGACTGTGCTCTGGAGCTGTTCCTATTCAGCTATCTTGGCAGAATCCCCTTACTCTGGCTTTCTTAAAGTGGTCATATTTTTGACCTACACAGAGATATTGCTGTGGTAAATCAGCAGTATTTAAGTTACTTTAGTAACCAAATAAATAAGTAGAAATCTAGAAGGGTTGGATGAAGTAGAAGAGAACAAATACTATTTCTGGTATAGATAGTAAGTAGTGGCTCAAATAATTGACTTATTATCTACCGGTGAAATTTAGTGTGGGACAATTACCAACTTCACATTTAAAAAATTTGGTTTAGGCTAGTCATCAGAGGTATAATTTTAATTCTTGAACAATGATTAATGATATCAGGTTCTATGGCTAATTTTGCTATTTATTTTATATGTATTTTTAAATAAATTTAATATGTATTTTAAAACAAATTGAATCATGCAAGTTTTCTTGAAAGCACAACATTCACAGAGTGCTTTTATCTCACAGATGTTATATTATATATATATGTGTACACATAGATAAACATATTTTTTTCTCTAATTTGTCTCATCTTTCTTAAGGAGACAAGATTAATACTAAAAAGCCTAACAATATTCAGAAGAAGTTGGGATTGGAACTCACAAATAAGGAGTCTTGGAATCTACAAGAACATTTACCAGTTGATGGTAAACATTTCTGGCATTGCTGATATTTTTAGAGGAACTTATTTTATCTATGAGAATTAGTTAAATGATACCTATATTGCCATATTGCAGCTTTGAAATGTATTCAGAAATGTTAACTCTTAAATATGTTTAAATATTGTCTTCTGTTATAATTCTTTGGTGTAATTGGTAGGCGTAAGCAATATCTGAGAGTGTCTCTACTATGAGTGACTTAACTTAGTGGAAGAAAACAGATAAAGGAAAATACAAAGGTAAATGAGGAGATATAGAAGGAAAGAGAAGGCCTGAAAGTAAGATACCAAGAAATGGAGAATAAGGCCAGGAAGAGGTTAGACAATTAGAGTTTCAACAGTTCTTAGACCAGAAATGAGGGCAGGCTGAACATCACCCATAAGTGTGATCTGATTCTTTTTTTTTTTTTTCCTTAGCTTTTATTTTAAATTCGAGGGTTCATGTGCAGTTTTGCTACATAGGTAAACCTATGCCATGGTGGTTTGCTGCACAACTCGACCTATCACCTAGATATTAAGCCCAGTATCCATTAGCTATTCTTCCTGATGCTTTCCACCTTATCTCCAATGGCAGGTCCCAGTGTGTGTTGTTCCCCCCATCTATCCATGTGTCTCATTGTTCAACTACCAATCATAAATGAGAACATGTGGTGTTTGATTTTCTGTTCCTGCATTAGTTTGCTGAGGATAATGGCTTTCAGCTTCATCCATGTCTCTGTAAAAGACATGCTCTCATTCCTGTTTGTGGCTGCATAATATTCCATGGTGTATATGTAGATCTTCTTTATCCAGTATATCATTGATGGGCATTTGGGTTGATTCCACAACTTTGCTATTGTGAATAGTGTCACAATGGACATACTCGTGCATGTATCTTTGTAATAGAATTATTTCTAGTCCCTTGGGTACATACCCAGTAACTAAATTGCTGGGCCAAATGGTATTTCTGGTTCTAGATCTTTGAGTAATCACCACACCATCTTTCACAATGGTTAAACTAATTTACATTCTTGCCAACAGTATAAAAGCATTCCTATTTCTCTTAGGGAAATGCAGTTTAAGACATAAATAGATATCACTGTTCATCCACTAGAATAGCTAAAAATAAAAAGTTCAGCAACACCCAGTATTGGTAGTGATGTGAAGCAATTGAAACTCATATAATTGCTAATGGGTCTTCTAACCACTGTGGAGATTAGTGTGGTAGTTTCTTTTCTTTCTTTTTTTAAATTCTACTTTTTTTAAAATTGTACATGGGGTACATGTGCAGATCATGCAGGATTGTTTCATAGGTACATGCATGGCAAGGTGGTTTGCTGCCTCCATCCCACCATCACCTATACCTGGCATTTCTCCCCACATTATCCCTCACCCCTCCCCCTGCACTTTCCCCCCCCAGCCCCTCCAACTGACCCCAGTGTGTGATGCTCCCCTTCCTGTGTCCATGTGTTCTCATTGTTCAACACCCACCTATGAGTGAGAACATGCAGTGTTTGATTTTCTGTTCTTGTGTCAGTTTGCTGAGAATGATGGTTTCCAGGTTCATCTATGTCCCTACAGAGGACATGAACTCATCGTTTTTTATGGCTGTGTAGTATTCCATGGTGTATATGTGCCACAAATCTGGAGACAAGAGATGCTGGAGAGGATGTGGAGAAACTTTTACACTGTTGGTGGGAGTGTAAATTAGTTCAACCATTGTGGAAGACAGTATGGCGATTCCTCAAGGATCTAGAAATAGAAATTTCATTTGACCCAGTAACCCCAAACATATGAAAAAATGCTCATCATCACTGGTCATTAGAGAAATGCAAATCAAAACCACATTGAGATACCATCTCATGCTAATTAGAATGGTAGTTTTTAAGAAGTTGAACATAAGCTTACTCTAAAACTCAGTACTCTCACTCCAATATATCTTTCCAAGAGAAAGAAATGTATATGTTCTCAAAAATATTTGTGCATGAATGCTCACAGCTTTATTCATAATAGTTAAAAACTGGAAATAATCCTAATGTCCATCCACCCGCAAAGGGATCAACAAAGTATACTATTCATACAATGGAATATTACTCAGCAATGTAAATGAATGATTTACTGATAACATGCAACGTTCTGGATGAATTTCAAAACATTATGCTGAGTGAAAGAAGACAGACATGAAATAATACTGACTACATGATACTTTTTATGAAATTCGAGAACAAGCAAACATAATACCAGAAAGCACATCAGTGATTGTTTAAATGTATGTTTTAGAGGGACTGATAGCAAAGAAAGGGAACTTTTGGGGGGTAATAGAAATGTTTTGTATCATAATTCTAGTATTGTTTACATGGCTATATATATTTCTTAAAACTTGACAGACTGAACACTTAAAATTATGGTTTATGGTATGTAAATTATGCCTCAACAAAGTTGATTTAAAAAGAAAGAGAAATGGAAGTATCAGATATACAATAAAAATTATATTTAAAAAAATAGTTACTCTCAGGGGTAGGAAGGAACAAGGTGTTTAAAACTGGAAAAGAGAGTGCACTTAAAAATTTAGCCTACTTTTTTTTTTTTTTTTTTTTTTTTTGAGATGGAGTCTTGCTCTTGTTGCCCAGGCTGGAATGCAGTGACACAATCTTGGCTCACTGCAACCTCTGCCTCCTGAGTTCAAGCAAATCTCCTGCTTCAGCCTCCCAAGTAGCTGGAATTACAGACACCCGCCACCATGCCCAACTAATTTTTGTATTTTTAGTAGGGACAGGGTCTCACCATGTTGAGCAGGCTGGTCACAAACTCTTGACTGCAAGTGATCTGCTCACCTTGGCCTCCCAAAGTGCTGGGATTACAGGCATGAGTCACCGTGCCCAACCTCCTATTTTGAATAAATATTTAATTTTGGATTCTCGTAAATATATTACATAATTATTTAGCAAGTTTCCAAAAAGCAATTTCTAAAAATTGAAAGCAAAATCAAATGAACCTAACTTTATATTGATTTGGTAGCTTAAAACATAGAAAGGAACTACTTCAAACAATTTTATAAAAAATACAAATTTGATTGTGCACCCCTGAATGGAATATCAAAGGACAAAAAGATCTGCAAAAAATGATAACAATAACCCTGAAAATATTTTCAACACTTAGCTTATCATTGTTACCTTTTGTGGCATTATTCTGAGACTCTTGTGTATATTCTGTGGGATAAAGCAAATGAGTCATTATGTTGATATTGTTGAGAATGGTGACTTTTGGCATAGGAGAAAGGAAATATTAATTTAGATATATGAGATTTACTTTAAAACACTCTGGATTGTGAATATATTACTATAAATTCATGATGTAATTTATCTTAAAAATGCATGTTTTCTAATTATGTCCATGGAAAAGGCCTGGAACCAATTATTAGACTTTTATTGAAGAGCACCTCTGTGTCATTCCAATAACCAACTTCTCACACTGAGTGTCCTACAATTCAATTCAGTTCTGACACTGACTACCTAGAGTTAGCATGGGCCCCACAGTTTAAAATGCTTAATACCACAAGACTACTTTTACTTTAAATGTCAGCCATAAGTCATTGGGCCATCCACACTGCTGACCAACCAGTTGTAAAAATTCAGGATTCCTACATCCACCCCCTGCTTGGGTTCACAGCTTTACTAGAACAAGTCACAGAACTCAGGAAAACAATATACTTAAGATTGCTGGTTTATTTTAAAGGATAAACATGAACAGCTAAATGAAGAGATATATAAGGTGGTAAGGTAACAGGGAACAGAGCTGCTCTGCCTTCTTTAGGCATGCCATCCTCCTGGCACATTAATATTATTTACCAACCCAGCACTTCTCCAAACCTTCTTGTTTTAGAGTTTTTATCTTGGGTTCATATTATAGGCATGATTCATTAAATCATTGGTCATATGATTGAACTCAATCTCTAGTCCCTTTCTCTTCTCCAGAGGTCAAGAGATGGGTGGTGGGGCTGAAAGTTTAAACTCTCTAATCACATGGTTGGTTTCCTGCTAACCAACCTCCCCTTCCCCAAGCTATCCAGGGATCCATACCATGAGTTACTTCATTAGTGTAACTCAAGTATGGTTTAAAAGGGCTCCTTATAAATAAAGAAACTCTCATCACTCTGTAACAGGAACTGAGGACCAAGAGAAAATATATTTTTATTACAACACAACCCCTAAAACCCAGATTGTGGTCTCCATATTCTATATCCTCCTTCTTCAAAAAGGAGCATGGTGTTATCGGCAGAACATACCTAAGACATGGCACCCAAGTGTGTTAGCAGTAGTGAATCAGCACAGGTCTGCAGCAACCTCAATTCTTGCCTCCTCAGAAGAAAGAATTTGACTGAGGGGCATAAGGCAGAAAGAGAGACTGAGGCAAATTTTAGAGTAGGAGTAAAAGTTTATTAAGAAGCTTTAGAGCAGGAACACAAGGAAGGAATATGCACTTGGAAGAGAGATAAGTGGGCCACTTGAAAGACAAGTATGTAATTTGACCTTTTGACTTGTGGTTTTATATGTTAGCATACTTCCAGGGTCTTGCATCTCTCTCCCCTGATTCTTCCCTTGGGGTGGGCTGTCCACAAGCACAATGGTCTGCTAGTGCTTGCAAAAGGATTTACTGGATTAGGGGATTATTTGAGGTATTCTTCACTTACCAACTGAATGTCCCTAGAAGGTCACATACCAGTTAAACTCTACCATTTTGCTTCTTCATGCTCATGCTTGAGCCCATTCACCCAACTCCTGAGATCTTATTGGGAAGCTTCTGATCCCCAGTTTTAGGTGTTTCTGTTTATTAAGAGACTGCCTTTTCCTGGTGCTGGCTGTGAGAAATTATATTTTTAGAGAGAGAGTTAAAAACCACCTGACCAGCACCTGGTGGTCACCTGACATTCCTGTTGTATGGGGGTGGGTGGAGCCAGAGTGTCTCCTGCTCTGCTCATGTCTGACTAGCTACCTCCTGTAATAATGGCTTTTTGGAGAAATGTTTGATCCCAGGTATGACAAAGACAATGTACAACAGGAGCCTGGAATATTTCATAATGCCACAAAGCAATAAAACTATCTAGTACTACTAGGTTTGTGTCAAAAGAACTCAAAAACTGACTTAAATGGGTTCCCCCTGGCCAAACATAGGACAATTTGATCATCAGTAAGAATAATTGCAGTAATTTGAAACAAATTGTTAAATCTATGAGTTTTTTTTTAATGATACTCAAGTGAAACAACAAAACAAACAACTAACAAAATTATCACAAATCATCACTGGAAGATTCTAGGAAACAAATTGTTTTGAGACTGGTATATAGAGGGAAATAAGCACTTTCTATACAAAGTTTAATTTGTAGTAGCCAAATAACGGAAGAGGAAGTTTATCTTATGAATATATTGCAGCTAAACAAAAAAAGGAATGATTGAAGTTGAATATGAGGATTTTGCGACCTTTAATTATTTAATGGGTCTAGTCTGTAATTATCAGTGATCACTATTATCACCCAAAAATAAAGAAAACTAGACATTGTTTTCAGATGAAAATACAAAATACCAGCTGTGAGTTATTTTTTTCCAAACAGTCGACCCTGTATCTGTTCAAGCCTCTATATCTTACTACCAATTCACAGAAAAAGATAGAGCACAGAAGAATATGTTAAACCACACCATGGGGGTATAATAATCAAAATCCAGGTTATGGGAAACTCTAAAGAGCTAACAATGTAGTGTTTTCAAAAAAGTGCAGGGAAAAATGAGGTCAAGGAGGGACTTATAAATTAAAAGAGACATAATTGGTGACTGGAGCAGCCACAGGGCTCTGGAAGCGCCAAGTGGTCTTTCTGCTGCTAAGCCTTGGTCTGGCTCCCATCATCCCCTCATAATGGACAATATTCACTAGCTCCTCCTGTGGACTACCATGTTATAGGAAGTGAAAATAGTTTACACATTGCATGCCCAAATGAACAAAGGTGACCAGAGTACTCTTAAGTTTATTAGAACTATTTTTCCTTTTGTATCTGCAATATGGGATGGCATTATTTTCATGAACTTCTAGAAACTTCATCTGCAAGCTTATTTTTGCTTCCTGTGTTATGATCATTCCCATTTACAGTATATTTGAATAAATGATTATATTTAAAAAGTTACATAGGGCTTTTTGATTGTCCTAAACTTAAAACATTTCACTTGTTTCATTTGTAACTGTGATCATGGTTTTTGTGATGATTTCTGGCCTGATTGAAGGAAATTTGAGAGCTCTACATTTAAATACTTTTAAGTAAATTTGAAGGTTTTAAAATTGCTTTTTATAAAATAAGGCATTTATAGTTATTTGGGGTTGTCTGGGATTATATGGAAGAAAATTAAAACCACACTGTATTTACACTTAACTTGATGGATTATTTGTGGGTGGCAGTTTTCTCTAGTTTTTGGCAGTGTGACAGCTCTTGGAATACTTGACAAATTACAGCTGAAATCTGTATCATCCATTACAGTTGGCTTATGTGACTAGACTAGGAGGAAAAAAGAAATCAAATGGTTATTTGCTATTTATTTTACTCCTATAAAAATGTCTAATGTTAAGAAAACTTTCAATAAACACAATTGGTCAACATGATAGATGATTTACAGTCCTTCATGAAAGGAGGAAAAAATTAATGCTATCTCTCTTTGCCTGATATAATCTATATAGTAATGATTTAAGCCATAATTTATTTTAAAATGAGTGGCTCTTGGGAAACTTCTGTTCTAATACTTCCATGTTAAAGTCATATTATCTTAAAGCTGTATGAGGACCTATTAGATTACTGATAATTGAATACTTATTTGTTTATTTACTCCATTGAGTCTTTTGTTATGCTTCTGATTTATAAAAACATAAATGATGGGATCCATACTCCAAACCTCAGCATCATGCAATATTCTTGTGTAACAAATCTGCACATGTACCCCCGTATCTGAAATAAAAGTTGTAATAAAATTTAAAAATAAAGCAAAAGAAAATGCAGCACAAAAATTTTTAATGAATTTTTGGTTTACTTCAAGGAGAAAAGAGGAAAATGAGAAAATGCAGGGATCTTTTTCTTACCCCTTATCTCATTCCTGTAGGTAATGAGCTGGATCAAGGTTGGAAGAAACACTAATATATGTGAAATTTGAAATGCATAGAAAAGTGAAAGTTTGCATTGTTTTGCTCAGTTTGAAAAAGTGAATACCACTAGCATAAAAAAGTGTTTGCATGATCTATGTGATTATGGAATTTTTTTCCTGCTAAGTGATTGCAGATGACTGATGAGGGCTAGAAGGTATTTTGCTATCAATGTAAGGATTTTTTTCTCCCTCAGGTCAGGCTTATTGTAGAGATCTGAAAAATTACTTGTATGAATTGAACAAACTTCTCAATATCATTGTAAAAACTAAAAAAAAAAAATTTTTTTAAAGAGACCTAAAAGATGTAATAGAATTTGCAGCTTCAGATAACAGACTTTATTAGGATCATTATTTGAACAAATGCAAATAACTGATAAATATCTAAAATAATAACAAACCAATTTGAACAAAGCTCAAAAATTGGGACAATCAGAAAAATATGAAGACAAATTAGATAGTTGATAATTTAAGGAATAGTTTAACAAAGTTAGCATGATAATGGTTTAGTAGTCATATTTTTACAGTGTTCTTATATTTTAGTCATATATATTGAAATATTTACAGATGATTTGATATGATGTCTATGATTTGCTCCTAAATAATTAGGATAGGATGGCAGTAGTAGGTGGGAGTAGAGAAAGATTAAGAATGGACATGAGTTACTAATCATCATATTACTAAATGAAAAGTGTTCTAAATGTCCTACTCTCATGTCATTTGGAAAGACTGTCATGCAGAATTCTAAAAGAAAATTTAACTTTCTAAATTTATTTATGAAATGTTGGAGTCTTTCACAGTTTTTATAAATTATTATATATTTGCCTTTTATTGTAACAAAACAATAAATCAGATGAAACAAATAAATGTAATGGAGGCTCTTAAAAGTAAGATGATCCTGGCCAACATGGTGAAACCCTGTCTCTACTAAAAATACAAAAATTAGCAGGGTGTGGTGGCATGTGCCTGTAGTCCCAGCTACTTAGAAGGCTGAGGCAGTTGAATCACTTGAACCCAGCAGGGCAGGAAGTTGCAGTGAGCTGAGCTCAAGCCATTGCACTCCAGCCCAGGCAACAAAAATGAGACTCCATCTCAAAAGAAAATAAAAAGTAAGATGAGGCCAGGCACAGTGCCTCACGCCTGTAATCCAAGCACTTTGGGAGGCCTAGGCGGGTGGATCACTTGAGGTCAGGAGTTCAAGACCAGCCTGACCAACATGGTGAAACCTTGTCTCTACTAAAAATACAAAAATTAACTGGGCATGGTGGCAGGCACCTGTAATCTCAGCTGCTTGGGAGGCCGAGGTTGGAGAATTGCTTGAACCCGGGAGGCAGAGGTTGCAATGAGCTGAGATCATGCCACTGCACTCCAGCCTGGGTGACAGAGCAAGACTCTGTCTCAGGGGAAAAAAAAAAAGTAAGGTGAAAAGGCAGTAACTATGATCCTTTTGCTGATTCTTATGTCATTTCCTAGTCATTAGATTGTCAGTCTTGCCATCATATATTAATTGGTTTGTTATTATTTTAGATATTTATCAGTTAATACTAGTTAATACTACGTGATAAACTGTTTCATATCTTGGAAAGGAGTTCCAATCTTGATAGGGGAGGAAAAAATCAACCTTGGTGTCTATGCAACAAAAATGTGAAATAGAGACCTCAGGATTTTATCAGCAATGGAGACTACCTTTCTAGATAGTCTGGACAACATTTATTTGTCTAACATTATAATATTAGATTGCTTGCCTTCAATGCTATAATTCATTCAGTTCATTCAGTTAATTAACATTTTACCGTGCTCTTAAAGTACCAGGTGCTTCTCTAGTATTATAAGTGTAGGAGATACAGTGGTGAATCAGACAATGTTCCTGCCTTCGTGAAAGTCATATTTCCACTAAGGCAAGGGAGAAATTAATAAATAAAAATGAGATGAATTTATGAAGCAGTAAGTGCTATGAAAGAAAAAGAAGGTAATATGATCAAGAATAGAAGATGCCAGGGTTGCTTTAGATAGGATAGTTAGGGACTGCCTAATAGAGGAGGATAACATTTCAGCTGAGGTTTGGAGTCAGACTCCTTTTAGCAATCTTGCTGAATAGAATTTTCTTTAACATAAGCCTAATGAAATACATTTTATTTCTAATTCTGATATTAAACCTCATTGCCACTTGGATAGATTTTGGGCATAGTATTGATAATACATAGACATTGTTTTGGTGTTGTAGTGTCATGATACCTTTTTCATAGTTCTTTCTCTTTTCCAAGAGGGGAAGGTTGATATCGATAACCTTGATACCATTCTAGAGAAAATGGAAATGAATTTCTCTGATAAGGAATTTGAAGAGCTGTCACACAATTTGCCAGGTATTTATGAATATTATAGACACCACCACCATCATCCCCCTGCAAGGATAATTTGGGCTTGTGGGTTTATGATTTCACATGTTTAAAATTCTACTTTTTTTAGTTCTTGAAATACAGCTGACACATGTTAAGGGAACTCAGTCCAAACATAAGCATTTCATTTTGCTGAACTGAGTACTACCTTCATGATATTTTAAAATATTCCATGTTTCTTGAAGTAAATTCAAAGAAGAAAGGCCCATGCTAGGATCTGGAGAAGAGATTTACAAAATATGCAAAACTTAGTGTTTGTTCTTTTTTTTTTCCCCATTTATTTGTTTTATTGCATTTTAGGTTTTGGGGTACATGTGAAGAACATGCAAAATTGTTGCATAGGAACACACGTGGCAGTGTGATTTGCTGCCTTCCTCCCCATCACCTACATCTGGCATTTCTCCCCTTGCTATCTCTCCCCAGCTTCCCACCCCCCACCGTCCCTCCCCTATTTCCCCCCAACTGACCCCAGTGTGTAGTGCTCCCCTCCCTGTGTCCATGTGTTCTCATTGTTCAACACCCGCCTATGAGTGAGAACATGCGGTGTTTGATCTTCTGCTCTTCTGTCAGTTTGCTGAGAATGATGGTTTCCAGGTTCATCCATGTCCCTACAAAGGACCCAAACTCATCATTTTTGATGGCTGCATAATATTCCATGGTGTATATGTGCCACATTTTCCCTATCCAGTCTATCGTCGATGGGCATTTGGGTTGGTTCCAGGTCTTTGCTATTGTAAACAGTGCTGCAGTGAACATTCGTGTGCACGTGTCCTTATAGTAGAACGATTTGTAATCCTTTGGATATATACCCAGTAATGGGATTGCTGGGTCAAATGGAATTTCTATTTCTAGGTCCTTGAGGAATCGCCACACTGTCTTCCACAATGATTGAACTAATTTACACTCCCACCAACAGTGCAAAAGTGTTCCTATTTCTCCACATCCTCTCCAGCATCTGTTGTCTCCAGATTTTTTAATGATCGCCATTCTAACTGGCGTTTGTTCTTAAAGGTGCATTAGATTAAGGGAGAAGATATATATACAGGCAAAAAATATAAGTGAAAATAATTTAGGGGTTAGAAATGTCAGCTTATCATAGGTGCTCACTGAGGACTAAGTGTGACCATGATCAGTTTTAAGAATCCTGGTGCAAGTGCTTGTGCTGCTTTTAAATCCTGCCCTAGCAGCCTACTTGATTTGGAATGGAACAAATGTTGATTTAGGAACCTGACAGATACAGTTTTCAATATCTTACTAACTTTGTGATTTAGGCATGGTTCTTAACTTTCATGAAGCTCAACTTCTTTATGTGTTTTTTTTTTAAAAGAGTCATACTATCTTCACAGAAGTATGAGATACATCATATGAAATGTATCACAATACATAGGTTGGTAGACATGCATTAAATTTCATTTTCTTTCCTTCCTTGAGTGAAAGAGAGCAAATTGGAGAGGTCAGGAAATCAAATGAATCTGCTTGATATGGAGGAAAATACTTTAAAATTTTTGCTATAATGCTATAGTGTTTAACACCACAGTACTTTAATGAAAAAAAGCTTGTATATCATTTTTCAAATGCTCATTTTTCCATGGTCTTATGGAGTGGGAAGGGATGATAGAAATACAGTTATAGAGAGGACCCAAGATGGCCAACTAGGAACAGCTCAGGACTGCAGCTCCCAGTGAAAGCGCAGAGGGTGAGTGGACGCCGCATTTCCAGATGGATTTTTATTGCCCACAGACCAGGAGATTCCCAGGTGGAGGAGCCCCACGGGTTGCCAGTGTAGCTGTTTTGGCCAGCGCGCCAGTGCGGCTACTTTGCCAGCGCCCTGGCGCAGGGTTCTCCGTACAAAATACACTGGTCTGGGTGCCCTTTTAGCTGGTGATTGGAGACCCAGGAAGGCAGACCACCCATTCATCTGATTTAAAAAGGAACTGAAACAGGGAGCCAGGCCAGGAGATTACTGGGCAAAAAAAAAAAACGCCACGAATCTCAGCGCCACTGTTTCAGCCAGTGCAGTGAGTCACCGCACAGGAAATCACACAGATGCCGGCCCCTTTTCAACAGTCGACTGGAACACCTGGGAGAGAGTCGACCGTTCACCTAAAAAAAAAAAAAACAGACTCTGAGTCAGGGAGTCAGGTGATCAGGCTCAGCTGGACCCACCTTCCCACACACACACACAAAACGAAACAGCAATTGGAAATGCTCTGGGTTGAGAGTTTCACAGCAAGCACAGCTGAACCTGGGAAGGTGCAGCTCTGTGGGGGAGGGGCGTCTGCCATTACCAAGACACTCCACCACTACAGAGGTAGTACACCATCGCTGAGGCAGCCCACCATTGCCAAGGCAACCCGCCGTTGCTGAGGCAGCCTGCCATTACAGAGAGAGTCCGCCATTACAGAGGCGGGCCACCCTTGCTGAGGCAGTTCTAACTACACCCATATAAACAGGACTACAGGGAAGATCACACGGCAGCTGGGCGGAGCCCACAGCAGCTCAGCAAAGTCTCTGCAGGCAGACAGTGACTAGGCCGCCTCCTCACTGGGCAGGGCAGCCCTGAAAAAAAAAAGGCAGCAGCACAACAGAAACTCATAAATAAAGCCTTAACTCCCTGGGACAGAGCACCTGGAGAAAAAAAAAAGGAGTTTATGAGTTCTGCTGCAGCAGACCTAAATGTACCTGCCCAGCAACTCTGAATGAACAACGGAGCTCACAGCTCAGCATTTGAGCTCCAATAAAGGACAGACTGTCTCCTCAAGCAGCTCCCTGACCCCCGTATGTCCAAAGAGTTACCTCATAAAGGAGAGAACACACTCACATTTGGCAGGTATCCTTCTGGGACAAAGAAAGCAGAAGAAGAAACTGGTAGCAACCCTTACTGTTCTGCAACTGCTACAGGTGATCCCCAGGCAAGCAGGGCCTGGAGTGGACCTCAGCAGTCCTACAACAGAGGGGCCAGACTGTTAGAAGGAAAACTAAGAAACAGAAATAACTTCATCATCCACAAACTGGAGGTTCACTCAGAGACCCAATCTGAAAGTCAGCAACTACAAAGACAACAGGTGGATAAATCCACAAAGATGGGAAGAAACCAGCGCCAAAAGGATGAAAACACCCGAAACCAGAACACCTCTCCTCCTATAAGGGATCACAACTCCTCACCAGCAAGGGAACAAGGCTGGATGGAGAATGAGTGTGATGAAATGACAGAATCAGACTTCAGAGGTGGGTAATAAGAAACTTCTGTGAGCTAAAAGAACATGTTCTAACCCAATGCAAAGAAACTAAGAACCTTGAAAAAAGATTTGACGAAATGCTAACGAGAATGGACAACATAGAGAGGAATATAAGTGAATTGATGGAGCTGAAAAACACAACACGAGAACTTCGCGAAGCATGCACAAGTTTCAACAGCCTAATTGACCAAGCAGAAGAAAGGATATCAGAGGTCAAAGATCAACTCAATGACATAAAACGAGAAGGCAAGAATAGAGAAAAAAGGGTAAAAAGGAATGAACAGAGTCTCCAAGAAATGTGGGACTATGTGAAAAGACCTAATCTACGTTTGATAGGTGTACCTGAATGTGATGAAGAGAATGAATCCAAGCTGGAAAATACTCTTCAGGATATTATCCAGGAAAATTTCCCCAACCTAGCAAGGCAGGCCAATATTCAAGTCCAGGAAATACAGAGAACACCACAAAGATATTCCTCAAGAAGAGCAACCCCAAGACACATAATTTTCAGATTCACCAGGGTTGAAAGGAAGGAGAAAATATTAAGGGCAGCCAGAGAGAAAGGTCAGGTTACCCACAAAGGGAAGCCCATCAGACTCACAGCAGATCTCTCAGCAGAAACCCTACAAGCCAGAAGAGAGTGGGGGCCAATATTCAACATCCTTAAAGAAAAGAACTTTCAACCCAGGATCACATATCCAGCCAAACTAAGCTTCATATGTGAAGGAAAAATAAAATCCTTTGCGAACAAGTAAGTACTCAGAGATTTCATCACCACCAGGCCTGCTTTATAAGAGCTCCTGAAAGAGGCTCTACACATATAAAGGAACAACCAGTACCAGTCACTCCAAAAACATACCAAATGGTAAATAGCATTAAAACAATCAAGAATCTGCATCAACTAATGGGCAAAACAGCCACCTAGCATCAAAATGGCAGTATCAAATTCACACATAACAATATTAACCCTAAATGTAAATGGACTAAATGCCCCAATCAAAAGACACAGACTGGCAAATTGGATAAACAGCCAAAACCCATCGGTGTGCTGCATCCAGGAAACCCATCTCACATGCAAGGATACACAAAGGCCCAAAATAAAGGGATGGAGGAAGATTTACCAACCAAAGGACAGCAAAAAAAGCAGGGGTTGCAATTCTCATCTCAGATAAAATAGACTTTAAAGCAACAAAGATCAAAAGAGACAAAGAAGGACATTACATAATGGTAAAAGGATCAATGCAACAAGAAGAGCTAATGATCCTAAATATATATGCACCCAAAACAGGAGCACCCAGATACATAAGGCAAGTTCTTAATGACTTACAAAGAGACCTAGACTCCCACACAATAATAGTGGGAGACTTTAACACCCCATTGTCAATATTAGACAGATCAACCAGACAGAAAATTAACAAGGATATCCAGGACTTGAACTCAGACCTGGACCAAGCAAACCTAATAGACATTTACAGAACTCTCCACCCCAAATCCACAGAATATACATTCTTCTCAGCACCACATCACACCTACTCTAAAATTGACCACATTATTGGAAGCAAATCACTCCTCAGCAAATGCAAAAGAATGGAAGTCATAACAAACAGTCTCTCAGACCACAGTGCAATCAAGTTAGAACTCAGAATGCAGAAACTAACTCAGAACCTCACAGCTTCATGGAAACTGAACAACTGTCTCTTGAATGTTGACTGGATAAACAATGAAATGAAGGCAGAAATAAAGATGTTCTTCGAAACCAACGAGAACGAAGACACAACATACGAGAATCTCTAGGACACATTTAAAACAGTCTCTAGAGGAAAATATATAGCAATAAGTGCCCACATGAGAAGGAAGGAGAGATCGAAAATTGACAACCTATCATCAAAATTGAAAGAGCTAGAGGAGCAAGATCAAAAAAACTCAAAACCTAGCCAAAGACAAGAAATAACTAAGATCAGAGCAGAACTGAAGGAGATAGAGACACAAAAAACACTTCAGAAATTCAATAAATCCAGGAGCTGGTTTTTGGAAAAGATCAACAAAATAGACAGACCACTAGCCAGATTAATAAAAAAGAGAGAATAACCAAATAGATGCAATAAAAAACGATAAAGGGGATATCACCACAGATTCCACAGAAATTCAAACCATCATCAGAGATTATTACAAACAACTCTATGCCCATAAACTAGTAAACCTGGAAGAAATGGATAAATTCCTGGACACTTGCCTCCTCCCAAGCCTAAACCAGGAAGAAGTCGAAACCCTGAATAGACCAATAACAAGGTCTGAAGTTGAGGCAGCAATTAAGAGCCTACCACCCAAAGAAAGCCCAGGTCCAGATGGGTTCACAGCCAAATTCTACCAGACATACAAAGAGGAGCTGGTACCATTCCTTCTGAAACTATTCCAAATAATCCCAAAAGAGGGAATCCTTCCCAAATCGTTTTATGAGACAAACATCATCCTTATACCAAAACCCGGCAGAGACTCAACAAGAAAAGAAAACTTCAGGCCAATATCCATGATGAACATAGATGCAAAAATCTTCAATAAAATACTGGCCAGCCGATTGCAACAGCACATCAAAAAGCTTATCAATCATGATCAAGTAGACTTCATCCCAGGGATGCAAGGCTGGTTCAACATACGCAAGTCTATAAATGTAATTCACCGCATAAACAGAACCAAAGACAAAAACCACATGATTATCTCAATTGATGCAGAGAAGGCCTTTGACAAAATTCAACAGCCCTTTATGCTAAAAACCCTCAATAAACTAGATATTGACAGAACATATCTCAAAATAATAAAAGCTATTTATGACAAACCAACAGCCAATATCATACTGAATGGGCAAAAACTAGAAGCATTCCCTTTGAAATCTGGCACTAGACAAGGATGCCCTCTCTCACCACTTCTATTCAATATAGTACTGGAAGTTCTAGCCAGAGCAATCAGGCAAGAAAAAGAAATAAAGGGTATTCAAATAGGAAAGGAGGAAGTCAAATTGTCTCTATTTGCAGACAACATGATTGTATATCTAGAAGACCCCATTGTCTCAGCCCAAAATCTCCTGAAACTGATAAGCAACTTCGGCAAAGTTTCAGGATACAAAATCAATCTGCAAAAATCACAAGCATTCCTATACACCAAGAACAGGCTTAAAGAGAGCCAAATCAAGAATGAACTGCCATTCACAATTGCTACAAAGAGAATAAAATACCCAGGAATACAACTAACAAGGAACATAAAGGACTCTTCAAGGAGAACTACAAACCACTGCTCAATGAAATAAGAGAGGACACAAACAGATGGAGAAACATTCCATGTTCATGGTTAGGAAGAATCAATATGGTGAAAATGGCCATACTGCCCAAAGTAATTTACAGATTCAATGCTATCCCCATCAAGCTACCAATGACCTTCTTCAAAGAACTGGAAAAAAACACCTTAAACTTCATATGGAACCAAAAGAGAGCCTGCATAGCCAAGTCAATTCTAAGCAAAAAGAAGAAAGCAGGAGGCATCACACTACCGGACTTCAAACTATACTACAAGGCTACAGTAATCAAAACAGCATGGTACTGGTACCAAAACAGAGATATAGACCAATGGAACAGAACAGAGGCCTCGGAGGCAACACAACATATCTACAACCATTCAATCTTTGGCAAACCTGACAAAAACAAGCAATGGGGAAAGGATTCCCTGTTTAATAAGCAGTGTTGGGAAAACTGGCTAGCCATGTGCAGAAAGCAGAAACTGGATTCCTTCCTGACACCTTACACTAAAATTAACTCCAGATGGATTAAAGACTTAAACATAAGACCTAATACCATAAAGACCCTAGAAGAAAATCTAGGGAAAACCGTTCAGGACATAGGTGTAGGCAAGGACTTCATGACCAAAACACCAAAAGCATTGGCAACAAAAGCCAAAAAAGAAAAATGGAACCTAATCAAACTCCACAACTTCTGCACGGCAAAAGAAACAGTCATTAGAGTGAATCAGCAACCAACAGAATGGGAAAAAATTTTTGCAGTCTACCCATCCGACAAAGGGTTGATATCCAGAATCTACAAAGAGCTAAAACAGATTTACAAGAAAAAAACAAACGAGCCCATTCAAAAGTAGGTGAAGGATATGAACAGATACTTTACAAAAGAAGACATACATGAGGCCAACAAACATGAAAAAATGCTCATCATCACTGGTCATTAGAGAAATGCAAATCAAAACTACATTGAGATACCACCTCACGCCAGTTAGAATGGCGATCATTAAAAAATCTGGAGACAACAGATGCTGGAGAGGATGTGGAGAAATAGGAACACTTTTACACTGTTGGTGGGAGTGTAAGTTAGTTCAACCATTATGGAAGACAGTATGGCGATTCCTCAAGGACCTAGAAGTAGAAATTCCATTTGACACAGCAATCCTATTACTGGGTATATATCCAAAGGATTATAAATCGTTCTACTATAAGGACACGTGCACACGAATGTTCATTGCAGTACTGTTTACAATAGCAAAGACCTGGAACCAACCCAAATGCTCATCAATGATAGACTGGACAGGGAAAATGTGACACATATACACCATGGAATATTATGCAGCCATCAAAAACGATGAGTTCGTGTCCTTTGTAGGGACATGGATGAACCTGGAAACCATCATTCTCAGCAAACTGACACAAGAGCAGAAAATCAAACAGTGCATGTTCTCACTCATAGGCGGGTGTTGAACAATGAGAACACATGGACATAGGAAGGGGAGCACTACACACAGTGGGGTCTGTTGGGGGGAAATGGTGGAGGGACAGTGTGGGGTGGGGAGAGATAGCATGGGGAGAAATGCCAGATATAGGTGAAGGGGAGGAAGGCAGCAAACACACTGCCATGTGTGTACCTATGCAACTATCTTGCATGTTCTTCAAATGTACCCCAAAACTTAAAATGCAATAAAAAAATAAAAAATAAAACATTCTCATTACAAAATGTTTTAATTACAGGAAAAGGAGAAGGGAGCAAAGTTCACCTGGTATCTCACCACCACTAATAAATTTGTTTTTAAAATTAAAAAAAAAAAGACAGTTATAGTGAAAATAGTGGGAAGTTATTGATTTCTTATGCTCTGTCTCACAATTAAGACCTTCACATTGTGTTTTTGAATCTCACTGTGGACTCTGTGATTTGTATTGTTTTATAGCTGATGAGAAAGTGAAACATATTAAACTGTTGCATGCAGCTATACCTGTTACAGGTAAGAAGTTGATGTAAAACTGAGATACTAATGCTTTACAAACTTCTTTGTAACAGTATTTTGAATATGTAACCGTTGTAACTTCTGCCACTTTATTAACAATAAAAATGTTTTCTAATGAACTACTTTGACTTTGAATTTCAGTGTTCTCAAAATAAAATTATAGTGCTGTTTCTTGACAGAAGTCCTCCATCCTCTAGAGGTTTCACCAATAGCATGCTTCACTTATTATACTTTAGAAATATGAAACCTAAGTTGCATAATAAAAATAATAATTACTACTATTTAGTGGACACTTTCTATATACCAGGCACTGTGCCAAGTGTTTTGCATGCATTGTTACTGTTATATCTATTATACAGGTATGTTCTTCATTTTATAAATGAAAGACTAGAGGCTTAGTGGGTAAATATCAGAATAAAATGTATGTAATTTTTCTTCAGATTGTGTCTATATATAGACAACCAGCTTAATAATTCAAGAGAAAATAATAATACTACCTGTTAGTAAATAATTTTAGGTTGTTGATATATAATTTCTGACCTGAAATTATAAGAGGATTACCAAAACATGACTATTTTAGACTATGCAATTAACTGAAAATAGCTCATATCTTTATTTTGATCTATAGCTGAATTAGAGTGATGCAAGCTTGCTATTTATTTGCTTATGTTGCAATTATTAAATAATTCTTAAATGTTTTCCTGGGCTCTTTTTCTAATCTTTCAAAGGAAAGAAAATTGATCCCAGTGACTTTTGAAACATTCCTGGGAATATGTTGGTTAAACTCACAGATAACAAAATGTTCAGCTGATGAATTTCCCTTCAAGGGAGCTTTGTTTTGAGACTGTGTGTGAAAATTTCCAGATCTATATCATCATACCAATGCTTTATAAAATATGTTGAGGAAAACATTAGCTCAATATAACTATAATGAAAGATGAAACTGTTTTGTGATTGAAGTTTTAGTATATTTATAGTAGCAAACAATTCACTTAACGGTTTCTGCCATCAGTATTAAACAATTTTGAATGGTATACTAGAATTACCTATAGGCCTAAAGTCTATACCTGAGAGGTACAGAAGGAGAAAGTAGGGAAGTAGCCATAGAGAAAAAAATATTAAAGGAATGAGTATGTGTATGTATCAGGTTCAAATTTGGCATACTACAAACTGAGGTACACAGTAAATGTGGTATGTTCTTTATTTTGTCTAGCCTCATTTCTCTTTCAGTCTCCCATCCTATTCTGGCTGTGGGTGGGATGCTGAAAGATGAAAGAGTAGGACTCAAATTGACCAGTAATCCAATTTCTTCTGGTTTAAGCATAAAAAAAAAAATCATCTCTTTTAGCTGACCCAGCTCATTTTGGGAAATTACCAGTTTTCAAGACTTTCTCTTACTTCTCCTCAGAAAGGCACCCCAGTATAAGGGAAAGCTTGAGTGTCTTCCTGGCGGTAGAAGAGGGCAGCCAGAACTTGCCTTGTTGTCTGAGTTCTTGATACTATCTTTAGCAATGTCCCATATTTCATGGGTTTCCATGGATCCTGTTGACCTCTCCTGCAGAATTCTTCTGCTTGAGAAATTCATGATCTGTTTTCTCAGCAAAGTCAAGATTCTGTGATCCTTCCTTCACTAACTTGGCTCAGTCTTAGCCCTGACTGGTGATGAGGGCCTCTGAATCTCAGTTAACTGTTGTCTGTACTCAGACTGTGCTGTCTACCTCAATCACTTCTGCTAGGAATCATCTTGCCCCCTGACTTGATATCCCATGGCAAACCCACTAGCCTTCATCTCTGAAATACCTTTCACATTTCTCACAGGAAGTACATGGAAGTATCTGAATTTCTTGTATATCACACAAAAACCAAAGGAGACCAGGGGTGGCATATTTTCAGCCCTCTATCTGCCTACATATACCATGCCACAATATCTATCCTTCATGACAATGGAATGCTAGTGCCTGTGCACTTAGTGAGCTGGTAACTTCAAAGTTCCAAACAGGAAGTATGACAGAAGTCCTTGTTGCTTTTTTCATAACCCTACCCTCATTCCCACCAGCGTATCTGGAATTTTCTTCTATCTTACCTCCTCTTGGAGAGGGGAGTATGGGGTGGAGATGGAAGGTGGCCAGTAGGCAACAAGAACACTTAAACCTCTTTGTAAATTGAGATAAATAGGTAAAAGAGAAATAGATGAAAGGTGATTGGTAGGTAGGTAGATGATAGGTGGATAAAAATATATTACTGTAACTGTTTCTCTTCTCAGTTTCACTTTCTTAAACCATGAAGTGGACTTTTTATTTTTTCTTCTTATCAAGTACGGGGTAGAAAGAAGGAGGAAAGGAGCTTCCCTTATGTAATTTTTGGCCTTTCTGTCCTCTATTTTACAGTAACACTAAGTGTCAGATCTTGAAGTTTTGCTTTGTAAAAGTAGCCTTTAAACATTAAAAACAGTTTTTGTTCTTTTGAAGTAGTCTAAATTCTATGGCTGATTTGGAAAAGGTTCTATGGAAGAAAGGAGATGTGAGAAAGAAAAGTACATTGATAGAATTTAAAATGTTATACCTGTACATATGTTCAGCATGACAGGGTGTCACTAACAATTGCTTCAAGGGTGGCAAGATTTTGGCCTACCTTCCATACTTTAATGAAGATATTTCTTTTCTTTCTTTCTTTTTTTTTTTTTTTTTTTTTTAGAGACAAGGTCTTGCTGTGTTTCCCATGCTGGTCTTAAAATGCTGGGCACAAGCTATCCTCCTGCCTTGGCCTCCCAAAGTGCTAGGATTACTTGTGTGAGCCGCCATGGCCAGCCTACGAAGATAGTCCTAATTTTTTTTCTTTTCTTCATCTTCTTTATCAGATATTCCTAATTTTTAAGGCAAATCAGAAAAGTGCTCCTTTATGAAACTTAAACTATTTTATAAATTTTCTCTTCTCTGTGAGTTGTATTTTTTTAATTTAAAACTTTATTATTTAGGCTGTCAACCAGTAGTCTGTTCTCTAGTATGATTTCATCTCTAAGAAAGTTATAGAGATGGAATAAGAGAGAGTGAAAATTTATGAAACCATCTTAGGTACATTTTACCTGTTTCTTGGATTCCGTGAAGCTGGTGCAGAACTCACAGGTTAAGGAGACATTGTGCCATAACCACATTGTTTTGGTTGGTGAAAATAATGGTTTAAGACTCCAGATTGTAATGATTATCTTGTCTTCATCATCCTTCTGATCTTCATAACTGAAAGTGCTTCCCTATCCTGTCATCCTGGCTGCCCACCCAACCCCAGGACCAGCAGCTGTTTCTTACTTCTTACCATATAATGTACCTCTTGCTTATGCCCAACTGCTACTGACTGGTCCCTGTCTCGTTTCTTCTTCCAAGCCTCTCCTGGTCTGAATTTCTACCTTGGTTCCCTTTTGTCGGTATCCTAGTCTATAGAGAAATAGTTCTAAAGTCAGGTCTTTACTTCTTGTTTCCAGATGTCCCTGTGCGTGCTTCCTCTCAATCCTTCCTGGTGTTTAAGCTCTGATGGTCCCTTAAGTGATCCATTCCAGTTCTTCCAGCTGAACCCCAGTCAGCCTGAAGGTGTTGCTCTGGCCTTTTGTGGTTCTGTGATTGCCAGTTTTTATTATGAATTCCAGCAGGGCTGGTATACCTATTTCCCATCTCCTTCTAGTTTGAAGGCTAATAAGGACAGATGCTACTTGTGGAGTCTATATGTGTACATTCTCTGAGTAAATGAATTGTTCCCCTGGCACCCTGCCAAGACCTGTTATGCTGATAACATGACAGCTTGTCATCACATTGGATTGATTTTCTCCTCCCACCATCACTGTCACCAAATAGCTTCATCTCCATATTAGGTGTAGGCTTTAAAGCCTACATGTACCATCGGGGATACCCTCTTCCCTTTTCTCTCTTTGTAAATATTATCTGTCCTGAAATGTGTGATACTTTTATCCTCTGTATCTATTTCTGCATATACTGAGTCCCCCTGCCTGCTTGGTTTCTACAATTGTATTCTTTTAAGTTCTCTAGCCATTAACATAGATAGCTTACAGTGGACTTCACAGATCATGTATTATACAGTCTCTCTGGTGCTGTTGCTTGTGCTGGTGACTGACTCCAGGACAAAAGCCTGATGTGGTGGATTATCCTTCTCTTGGGTCTTCTTACTGGAATACGGTAGACTGTTACTGACCTTCTCCACACTTGTCTCCTATTTTCCCGAGTACAGAACTTTGAGAAATAAGAAGAGGGAGCATCAGCCTTTATTCTGAAAGTTCAAACTACTTCTAGATCCTTAAAAACTTTTTTGATTCAGGGGAAGCCAGGAATCAAGGTTATTAAGTAATTATAACATGCCAGAACAAATCAAGCAGACTTGAGAAGAAATGGGAAGAGGGAAAGATTGATCACTCTATCACTCCTCCACCGTCCCAAAACCTTAGTCTCCATTATTTGTGAGCTCATGGTGGTTGAAAACAATTAGGGTTTGGGAATTATCAGTTTAAGAGTATATATGTATGTACCTGCTCACAGATCCACACCCGTTAGATAGGATTCCTGGAACAGGTGCATGAGAGGCCAGGTAAAAAGTCAAAAAAGGCAAAACTCTAGCATTATGAAAATAAGTTCAGTGTCAAAAGGTGTGACTTACTGGTCAATTTCAAACTAGGGGGAAAGGCTATGAAATTGACTTAGCTGTAGCATAGGAGAAGTGGTCTGAAATCTACTATTACTATTGTTAATGACATTACTCATTATTAATGAAGAACTATTACAATTATAGGAAATCTAAGAATGTTTTTTGTGATGTACAAACGGTTTGAGCATTACTCTTCATCCCAAAGAAAGACAAGAATCATCACAATGATGAACATTTATTCAGTTACATCATTTTGCTAAATGTTTGTCTTCTGAGCTAAATATTAGGCTTTTACAATAAGTTTTTTCTCAGTAATGACCATAAATAGATGATCAGATGTATTTCACAGTAGAGACATAAACTAAGTCTGAGAAGGCATATCAGAATGAAATTTTACCTGGTTTGAAACCTTTCAATGGTAAGATGGATGATGATTGAACAAATCACTCCCAGTTTACTTCATCGTAGTTCCTAATCACTTGATAAGGAACCCTGCTACTCTCCAACATATGGATCCAACATAATTTAAATTATCTTGGCAGAATGTCTATTTTTGGTTGATTTATATTGATCATATTTATACACATTTTGATACACTTTTCTAGAGAAAAGACTGAGTTTATTTTTAAAGGTTAATTGTGAAATGCAAGATAATTGCCATTCAGTGATTGTGGTTAGCATGGACAATGAATCTAGTTTGGGTTAAAAAGGTAACTGAGCCTTCCTTTGGCTCAGAAGTAGTTATTAAAATGTATCAGGCACTTGCTATGCTGACAGAGTTCTAAGTCTTTTCACATGTAACTTTATCTCCACAGAAACTCTGTGAAACAGGTAGGAATATCTTCATTTCGTAAAACAGAAAACTGGAAACTAAAGAAGTTAGGCTATTTGAATAAGTTCTAGGAGGTAATAAATAGTAGAAAACAACATTCAAACCCATGTATTCTTATTCCAACCATAGTAATTTTCTCATTTCACTAGAAATTCCTTTTTCATTATAAGAATAATACACTGGAAGCTAATTTTGTTCCCTTTGGAAATATATGGTATATATGTTTATTCTTTAAGGGAAGTAAGCTTAATTCTAACCTTATTGAATCTGTGTAAACTTAGGTTCCATTGATCTTAAGTCTACTTGCCAAAAATATCTGTAATTCATAAGCAAATATAAGGTGGAACATTTCAGCATTAGTGAGAGTTTTCATATTTCTTTCTCTTTACTAAGGAGAGACAGTAGATATCAGAGACGTGGACAACGTACTAGCAAACATGGGGATTGAACTCACCAAAGAAGAACTTGGAGAGCTGACAAGAAGCCTTCCAGTTGATGGTGACTCATTTTAGATATTAAAAAAATCCTTCAGAAGAGGGTCAAGGGTTTATATATGAGTATTTCTAAAACCAGTTTAATTTTGTGATAATAAAAAACCTTGCAAAATCTCAGAAAGATTCAGGTCCAGAGCAAGAACAAAGCCTATCTTCATTTTCTAAATCCACATAGAATACAAAGCATTTGACTAGACTGATTCCAAGATTGTTTTTCACATCTGTGAATGTTCTGGAAGCTAAAGAAAAATGTAGAAAAAGAAAGGAATGAAAGAAGGTTAATGTATATTCTTTCCACATTTCCCATTCATTTTTGTATTCTGACTCAGCTCCCTAACACTACTAAAACTTCTCTAAGGACACTATAACTTGCCATTTGTCAACTGCGTTGGACATTATTCATTCTGTTTCTTGTTGGAGCTCTCTGCTGTCTTTGATATCAGTGATAAATCTGACCTTGCAATTTTGTTCCCTTAGCTTCTGTGTTGTTACCACAGTCTGGATTTTTCTCATTCTTATTTTCATTTTACATCCTCTGGAAAATCTCACTCATATCTGTGGTTTTACATATCACCTACATGCTGACGACTTTCAAATCTGTATTTTTACATAGGCCACTCTCCTGCACTGCAGACTGGTATATCCAAATGCCTTGAGACATTTCTACTCAGATATTCCACAGGAGACATTCTTTAACCTATTTGAAACTGAATTCATTGGTTCCCTGCCCATGCTACCTTCTAGTCCTCTATTCTCTGTCCCATTTGTGCTATAATTATTTAGTCATCTAAGCTAGTTATATGGTATTCATTTTGTATAACCACCTGTTTCCTGTCACCTCCTATCTGGACTGTCACTTTATCATGCCAGTTTTACCTCAAACTACCATACATAGATGATTGGATATATGACAAAGAAAGTACACTAAAATGTTGATAGTAGAATCTAGATGATAGGGCTGTTCATTGTGCAGTTTTTTCAACTTTGCTATATGTTTGAAAATTTTCATAATAAAACATTGAAAAAATTCCATATATAAATCTGTTAACATCTCACTGTTCCTTCTATCATTGTCATATTTCAGGTTCTTTCCTTCCTGGTATCAGCTATTACAATGGCTTCTACAAAATAGCCATCGTAGTGATCTATATAAAATGTAAATCTGACTACATCATGACTCAATTTAAAAGTATTTAATGGCTTATAGTCATGTACTAAACAATGTCTTAAGTCCATTGATATGGAAAACAGGTTCCTCCATGATTTGGATCCTATTTATCTAATCCAGAATTTTACTCTCCACTAATATTGTATTTTTATTCCATTTTACATAAGAATAAAATAACTTTATGTCACTTGTATTTTATATCATGCTTTTTATCACGTTGAAACTGAATTCATTGGTTCACTGCCCAAGCAGGAATAAAAAGCATGAACCACTTGTATTTTATATTCATTAGTTCCCTGCTTGGAACTAATATTCATTGGTTCCACTTTATCAATAATCCCAGTTTTACCTGGCATGATAAAAGAGGGTCTTCAGAGAATTAGTTCCAAGCAGGGAACTAATGAATATAAAAGACAAACGATATAAAGTTATGACTTTGCTTTGTTTATGATGTCTTCATTACTTAGAGGGCCTCTCCTTTCCCTTCATTTGACTCATGCCTTCTCATTGCTTATCAGAATTGAGAGTCACGTTTTTTTTTTTTTTCAGAAAGTTTTCTTTTAATTATCCAGACTATATTAGATACCTCTTCTCTGTATTTCCACAATAACTGTGCATGTTTTTCATTACATTTACCACATTGTACTGTAATTGTGTATTTATGTTTATTTGCCTATCTTGTCACTTTAATGTGAGCCTTAAAGTAAGGATGGATATATTATTTATCTTCCAATACCTAGAAGAGTACTTGGCTTCTAAGTAGACACTCCACAAATGTTAAAAGAGAGATGGACAAATTACTGAGTAAATGAGAATGATATAATGAATAAGTGAATGAATAGATATTGACAAGATAATTCCTAAAGAAAATGAAGAACTGCTTTTGATCAGGACACTAATATTTATACCTGGTATAATGTAACCATTTATTTGCAGCAATTCTGAGTGACATGCAGTATCAAAGTCTGTTAGGAATAGACCAGAGGTAAACATATGGTCTTTATTTTTCACCAGAGACCTGTGACATTATCAGAATTGAGGGTCTTCAGATTATTAACTAGCAAGGATGGTATTTTTCATCATGTTTACAAGAAAGTATAATAGCGCAATAAGAACATATTTTTTCCCAAGCCAGACTTTATGGTCCAATGGTCAAGGGCCAGCTTACTAATATGAAATTCACTCTTGAAAACTATGTTTTATTGAATTGTTTCAAGTGTTGTTATGCAATAAGAAGATAAAGAGGTAGTCATACATAGGGTGGGCTCTATGTATGAGCCTGGCTTAATCATAGCAGTTTATTTTAGTCAGTACTTTTTATATGTTTATCTCTCATATAACCTACACATTCATACATTATTCATATATTTATACATTAACACCCCCAAATTGTTCTTTGTATTGTGAATTCAAACTTTGGGACCTTAGCTGAAATAACTGTATGGTAACATGGCCTGGCAGCTGGCATTTCAATTTGGTAGTTGCCGTCTTTTTCTGGACACCAATATTTCTCTTGATATTTTAATAGATGATTGTGCATATACATATGCACCATACATAGTTAAATTTTGCTCTTATTATGTAAAAATAAAGAGGAAATGGAAGCTTAAATCCTGATACTAGTAATAAGCATAGTTATCAAATATAATTATACATCTGAAATAGGCATGTAGAAAGACCTAAGGTCTACTTTGATTTATGTGTTTCAATTGGATAGGAAAAGAGCATATATAAAATTGTGGGGAAATATTTCTAAATACCATGTTTAATAGTATAATACAATTAGAAATTATGTTTTAGCCTTCTTGGAATGGAAGTTCTTGTCTTGCTACATGTAAATCTATTATTCACTTTTTTCTTTGAAGATATATGGGGTTGTCTATTCTGCTACACCATACCATTTTGTTTCTAAGAATTTAAAACGTTAAAAATGACAACAACAAAAAAAAGAGATAAGTTAAATGATGATGTGTAATAACAAACTTTATCTGGTTTCTGGATAATTATTTAGAATTCATTTTTTCCTGAATTTGCTTTATCTTATAGCTAAAGGGCAGACTGATTTGAAATCATTGATGGATACAATGCAAGTTATTACAGGTTAGTGAGAAGTTACTATGAATTTAAGATCCTAATACTTTAAACCACATTTTCTGTTATAAATATTTTACTCAAGTTTGACGTATATAATTATATTATGTAATCATATATGTCCAACTTAAGAATTATCACAAAATGAACATATGTACATACCCATTTAACTATAACCTGGATTGTGAAATAAAAGATTACCTGTAACCTGGAAGACTCCTGATACCACTACATAGATTCTTCCTCCATACTTTTTGAAGGCAATTACTATCCTGAATTCTAGGACCATAGATTTACTAGTTTTGTCTGTTTTTGAACTTTACATAAATGAAACTATACAATCTGTATTCTTCTATGTTTAATTTCTTTCACACAACCTTATGTCACATGCTATTCTCAGATTCATTCATATTGTTGCATGCAGCAGTAGTTTGCTCATTTCCATTCCTGTATTGAACAAAGACTAATCAACTCTAATAGTAGAAGTCTTCAGGGAACCTATTTTGGTATAGGGAATGATTTCAATTAATCTGTTGTACTTGAATACAATTGCTGTGTAATATTCCATTGTGTAAGTATGCTACAATGTATTTGTCAATTCTACTACTGAGGGAAATTTCCATATATGCCTTTTCATGAACATATGTGCATGATTATGTGGCCATACATAGAAATTGGATTGCTTGGCTGGGCACGGTGGCTCACGCCTGTAATCCCAGCACTTTGGGAGGCCGAGGCGGGTGGATCACGAGGTCAAGAGATCGAGACCATCCTGGCCAACATGGTGAAACCCTGTCTCTACTAAAAATACAAAAAAATTAGCTGGGCATGGTGGCCCGCGCCTGTGGTCCCAGCTTCTCAGGAGGCCGAGGCAGAAGAATTGCTTGAACCCGGGAGGCAGAGGTTGCAGTGAG